ACATGACTCTGGGAATCTTTTTGACTTTCTAATTATTTAGATCCCTCTCAAAAACAAAATTAATGAACTGCTCACAGCTGTTAAGCAAAGCATGGAATGGGAAGTTACTGCTGTATGGATCAAAGCGTCATTTGAAATCTTTTTCCATTATGGAGAGTTTAGTTTGGGAATTTTCTAAGAAATTACACAATGAAACAGCATCAAATAACAAAAATTCTGGACAAGGGACAGGATGGGACCTGTTGGTGTCAATTTCAACCATTCTTGCTGTTCGTTCTTGTATTCCACACTCCTATTCATAATCTTTGAATGCCACAGTTTCTCTCAAGTCTTGATTTTTCTCTATTACTCCTACAAAAAATAAAAAGGAAATAAACTTTTATATTTAAAATAAAACCAATTAAAACTGATGGAGGAAGAACTGCAACGGTGATAGTAGTACTTTGCATTGTATACTTTCTTATGTGTGGTGTGAATAGGGTAATTTGAAAAGACACTGAGTTAATGAAGAGAGTTGTTATAAATTCAGTTTATTTACATTTAAAGCAATAATGATAAGTAGCTTTGATTAGGGGAGGCAGTCTTGGAAAAGGCTCAAACCCTCAGTGAAATTTTACCCTGGCAAATATGATACAGCGTGGTATGTATGACCTTTACCTGCCCTCAAACGAGGGAGAAGAAATCCTTTGTGATTTTGTGGTTAATATGAAATTATCACAGGCTGCCAAGCACCCCCGTGCCTGGCACGTGGTGCTGCGCGGCGGGCTGGCTGCACGTGCTGGGAGGTAAAGTAGGTCTGGCGGGGGCCAGGGGAGGGGGGGGTAGCAGTGGTTTTCAGGACGCAGCAAAGTTCACAGATTCACAGATTGACAGATTCGACAGAGTTGGAAGGGACCTCTAGAGATCACCCAGTCCAACTCCCTGCCAAAGCAGGGTTGCCCAGAGCACATCACTCAGGAGCATCCAGGCGGGTCTTGAAAATCTCCCGAGAAGGGGACTCCACACCCTCCCTGGGCAGCCTCTTCCAGGGCTCTGTCACCCTCACTGGAAAGAAGTTCTTCCTCATTTTTGAGTGGAACTTCCTTTGTTCCAGCTTGTGCCCATTGCCTCTCGTCCTATTGCTGGAAATCACTGAAAAGAGTCCGGTTCCATCATCCTTCAACCCACCCTTTAGGAACTTGTAAACATAGATAAGGTCTCCCCTTAGTCTTGTCTTCTCGAAGCTAAAGAGCCCCAGCTCTTTGAGCCTTTTCTCGTAAGGGAGATGCTCTAATCCCTTAATCATCTTTTTTGCCCTACGCTGGACTCTCTCCAGTAGTTCCCTGTCTCTCTTGAACTGGGGAGCCCAGAACTGGATGCAGGATTCCAGTTGTGGCCTCCCCAGTGCAGAGCAGAGGGGGAGAATGCCCTCCCTCCACCTCCTGGCCACACTTCTCCTTATGCAGCCCAGGATTCCATTGGCCTCTTGGCAACAAGGGCACATTGCTGGCTCATGGAGATCCTGCCCTCCACCAGGACTCCCAGATCCTTTTCCTCAGTAGTACTTCCCAGCAGATCCATCCCTAACCTATATTGGTGCCTGGGGTTCTTCCTCCCCAGGTGCAGGACCCTACACTTGCCCTTATTGAACCTCATTAGGTTCTTCTCTGCCCAGCTCTCCAGCCTGTCCAGGTCACGCTGGATGGCAGCACAGCCCTGTGGAGTGTCAGCCAGCCCTCCCAGTTTGGTATCATCAGCAAACTTGCTGAGAATACACTCTGTCCCCTCGTCCAGGTCATCGATGAATATGTTGAACAGGACTGGGTCAGGTGATGGCCCCTGGAGGACACGACTGGTTACATGCCTCCAACTCAACCCCGCTCCATTAATCACAACCCTCTGAGTTCCGTCACACAGCCAGGACTCAATCCACCTCACTGCCCCCTCGTCTAGCCCACACTTCTTTAATTTTCTAATGAGGATGTTGGGGGAGACAGTGTCAAAAGCCTTGCTGAAGTCAAGGTAGATGACATCTGCTACCCTCCCTTCATCTAGCCAACCAGTTACAACATCATGGAAGGCTATCAGATTTGGTCGAGCATGTTTTGCCCTTGGTAAATCCGTGTTGACCACTTCCAGTAACTTCTTTGTCTTCAATGTGTTTGGAGATGACATCCAGAACAAGTTGTTCCATTATTTTCCCAGGGACAGAGGTCAGACTAATTGGCCTGTAGTTCCCTGGGTCCTCCTTCTTGCCCTTTTTGTGGACTGGTGTGATATTTGCCTTCCTCCAGTGCTCAGGCACTTCTGCTGTTCTCAATGACCTCTCATAAATGACGGAGAGTGGTTCAGCGATAACATCTGCCAGCTCTCTCAGCACTCGTGGGTGCATCCCATCAGGGCCCACAGACTTATGGATGTCTAGTTTGGCCAAGTGGTCTCTAACCCAATCCTCCCCAACAGAGGGAAAGTCTTCATCTCTCCAGACCATCCCCCTTGTCTCCAGGGTCTGGGATTCATGAGGGGCAGCTTTGGCAGTGCAGACCCAAGCAAAGAAGGCATTCAGCAGCTCCACCTTCTCTGTGTCTTCCACCACCAAGGCACTCACCTCATTCATCAGTGGGCCTACATTTTCCCTAGCCTGCCTTTTTTTATTGATACACTGAAAAAAACTCTTCTTGTTATCTTTAACTGTGGTGGCCAAGTTAAGTTCTGCTTGGGCTTTTGCCCTTCTAATTTTTCCCCTACATATCTTCACTACACCTTGATATTGCTCATGAGTAACCAATCCCTTTTTCCAGAGATTGTAGACTTTCCTTTTCTCCCTGAGGTCCAGCCAAAGCCCTCTTTTTAGCCAGACCGGTCTTCTTCCCCTTTTGCTCGTTTTTTGGGACCTGGGGATGGCCTTCTCCTGCGCTTTTGGGAGTTCCTCCTTGAAGTACAACCAGCCTTCCTGGGCACCTTTTCCCTTCAGGACTGTCTCCCAGGGGACACACTCCCCACCATGTTCCTAAGCAGGCCAAAATCTGCCTTTCGGAAGTCCAAGGTGGCAGTTCTGCTCGCTCCTTGTCTTGCTTCTGCAAGAATTGAAAACTCTATGATCTTGTGATCACTCTGCCCAAGATGACCTTGAACCTTTACATCTCCCCCAAGACCTTCTCTGTTAACAAGCAGCAGGCCCAGTAGGGCGCTTTCCCTGGTTGGCTCGCTCACCAGCTGTGTTAGGAAGTTGTCTTCCACACACTGTAGGAACCTCTGGGACTGTTCTCTCTCTGCTGTGTTATATTTCCAGCACATGTCTGGGAAGTTGAAGGGCGAGTGATTGCGAGAGCTCTGCCAGTTGCTGATAGAATATTTCATCAACTTCTACATCCTGGTTTGGAGGTCTGTAGTAAACTCCGACCATGTTGTCTGTCTTGTTGGCCTTCCCCTTGAGTCTGACCCGTAAACACTCTACACTGTCATTCCCATTATTAACTTCTAGGCATTCGAATCTGTCTTTAACATAGAGGGCCACCCCACCACCTCTCCTTCCTTGTCTATCCCTTCTGAAAAGTTGGTAGCCATTGATTGCAGCACTCCAATTGTGTGGGTCATCCCACCATGTTTCTGTGATGGCAACTATATCGTCGTTTTCCTGTAGTACAATGGCCTCCAGCTCCTCCTGTTTGTTGCCCATACTGTGTGCATTTGTGTAGATGCACTTGAGCTGGGCTCCCAGTTTCATCCCCATCCTTGTTTATTTTGCCCCAGGTTCGTTACCATTGGGTCTGGTTTTATCCCCTTCCCCCTCCACATCTAGTTTAAAGCCCCGTGCAAGAGTTTTGCTAAGTTGTTTCTGTTAACTTGTTTAGTTGCTGCATGGGGACAGTTTCGTGATGTGAAGGTGCCCGAGTGCTCCAGGCAGGGTGGCAGAACAGGAAGGCACAGGGGAGGCAGAGAAGGGGAAATGGCCTTTTGCGTTTCCACTGGGATTTACAGCACAACTTCAGTGGCCGTGGAGGCAGGAGTGGGTTGAACCTTGGCACAGGCAGTTGCTGTATTCAATATTTTCCAAACCACTAAGTGTTTTTTAGCATTTCTTCTAATCTGTGCAATCCACTTGGGCTCTGCTCTGCCTGCAGCCCTGCGTGCGTGCAGAGGGATGGCTCTGCTGGGGGTAACCCTGATGTGCTCGGGGTGCAGCCGGGACAGGGCTGCTCCGGGGACCTTCCAGCTGGGTTTTATTTCCCTGAGATGAGAGGGTGAAAGAGCAGGGACCGAACGTGTGGGTCAGGTTGTTCGTCAGCACTGGTTGTACAGAGGGGGAAGCCGTGGAGAACATGTACCTTATCTTTTGCCCAGTAAATTGCAAAAATTAATCACGTTGTGAAGGTAATCTCCAAAATTTGCTTTTCATGGTTTTAAAACCCTGGGGGATAGTAGCTCTTTGGTATAGTATCCAAGGTCTCTGTGCTAATTGCTACTGAGTTATTTAGCTTCCAACATAAAAATTATTTTACAAATTTTCATCAAACTTCTTTTTTTGAAGGCTGCAATTGAAATAATAAACTTGCTTTGTGAATTTGGCAATAAACAGTACTGCATGTAAATATATTTAGGTGTACAGTCTTGTCCTGATTTTTTTTTTGTTCATTATATAAATGTTCTAAATTAAAACAGGTTAGATTGAATCACGCTGTTTACTGACCTAGTAGACAAGACTTGATCATTTAAAGTGTCTTTAAAATCATGGTGCACATGTCTGATTGATACATTAGCTTCTGCAGTCAGTATGGTACAAGTAAATGATGTAGAAATGTGCCACGTGCATAAAAAAGTCTGTTTGTATCTTGAAGCTTAAAGCTAAATCCCTTGTTTATGAAATCTTTCCATATATGAATTTTGTCTTTTACTTGGGAGATGGCAACACGAGTTTAGAACGCCTGTGGGTGGAATATATAACAATTAATATTCTCTGATAGCCTAAATGATAAGCTCCCCAAAAAGTACATAAAGCTATGAACACCTTTTTTTGACAGGCTTTGAAGACTGCTGAGGAACACACGATTTGACTCATTTAAGCATTAAAATAGTAATACCCATGGAAGAGCCACAAGACTTACCCGAACAACCAGTAAGTACATTTAAAAAAACTGAAAATGAACATATAAACTAAATTGGTGATCTAACAAATTCAGAATACAGTTATTTTAATTAATAATGAAAAATAAGGCTTATACTTAGTGTATTTATCTAGAGGTGAAAAACCATTTTGCTGTTAGTGAAATTTGTTGTACATTTAATATAATCATACAGGCAATAGTAATACAAGGAATCTGTGCTTAAAGTCTATAATGTTTGTATGTAAAATTATACCTAATAATAACTTGTTATGCTCAGAAAACCAGACCATTTCAAGCCTGTTCTAGAGAAATTAAAATTCACTATTTTAATGAAAGAATCAGCATGCTTGTTATTACAGTGTTTATCATCCTTAATTATTCTTGTGCTTAAGATCTGGAAAAGGTCCCATGATCCATCATCTCCACAGGTGGAAAGCTTTTATTTTTTGAATTCCTAATTTAGCAGTGTGTTCGAGTACAGAAGCATGTCTTAAGATAAAAATTACTGTCCAAACATCTTAGATATTTGCAAGTCTGTCTGTATTATCAGTAACTGATAATGGCATGTCACAGAAGTTTTGGGCAGAGCAGTTATTAATACAGTATGATATGAAGTTAAATTTGTATATCTAAAACATAATAGCATGGGAATTAAGCAAAAAAGTTTGTATTAATGATACAGTCCCAAATTTAACCTGATGCAAACTCAAAAAGAAATTGCCAAGTTACTCTGAGAGTGAAGTTTATTTTAATTTTGGAGACCTTTCCAAATGCACACAAAAATAGAGTAGGAGGCTGAGGGCAATTTGGTAATGTTCCCATTGAAAAGATTTTGATGTTTTTTTAATGTGAGAATTTTATGTTCTTAGTTAACTAGTTAGAAAATACATTTTCATGTCATTTATGCAATTTTACGACTGAGAAACAGAGTAAATTCACCGTTGTTCAAAATATTGCTTGACACAACATGCAAATTGTCCCCGAGTCAATATACACACAACGTGAAAAAGAGAATTAAATCTGTGTATTGAAAAAGGAAATTTCTGTAATTACATCCCTATGTAATGAAAACTGTCTTTATAAAACTTAACTCTTCAGGGCATGGGAGACAGGGTACAGCTAATTTTCAGCATATGAAGCATCCTCTATGAGCAGATTCTGCTGTAATTTTCAGCTAAAGATTTTCTTGGTAATTTCTTTGAAGTATTTTATGCCAGTTAGTCATTCTGAGCCAGAAAATTAGACTATATTGGTCACAACTAGTAAGTGAGGTGGTATTTCGAGTATAGCGACACATTTTGCATGAGGAAATGAAAAGAACAATCTTCTGGATTTTGTAGTGAGGCCATTCCCGAAACAAGTGAATTTTCCCAATTAAAAAAAAAAGAAAACTGAAGTCAGCCCTACACAATGCTGCCTGCCTAGGAGCCCGACACTGATACTGTACAAACTTACTTTCTTTGCCAAATGATTTTGCTTTTCTTAATCATGGGAAAATGATTAGTGTGTTACTTCAGAAAATAATGTTTATGGCAAACTGCTGATAAATGAATCCAAAAAGAAGCCTGTAGAGAAGTCCTCAGGCTTTGAGTTCAGTGCATTTTACTTAAAAAAATAAATAGATAAATAGTGTAATTTTCTTATATTGGTGTGGACTGATGGTAATAATTGTTCCAAATGTATACAGTGTGTCTTTTCTAAATGAAGGTAAGACTACTCACTTACCCTGGGTACTGCTGCCTGGCGTGTTAAACAGCCACGTCTTTTGTCCCCTTTTTTGAATGTTTATTCCCTCGTCAAGCCTGGATTAGAATGGAGAAGTTTCTGTGCACACGGCAGTGCTAGAGAACAGAAACAGACATGGGAAATAAGAGAGCAAAGGGAAGTTTGGGGGAAAATGATCAAAAGTGACCCCCGACCTCATAATGAAAAATTTTATTTTTATAATAAATTATTAATCTGGATTAGTTCTTAGAAGTAATCCTATATAGTAGTCTCTCACTTGTTGAATGCTTTTTGGATGCAAGTAGTTGATTTTTATAATACTTTATGTAGCCCTTAATGCTAGAAAATGACAAAAATCTCCTTTTTCATGAGGGATGGTGAACTTGCATTAGACTCATTGCAGACACCCACTGGGTTCTGTTGGGAATGACTTCTCATGTGGGACAGCCAGGGTGAGTCGGTTGGTGGTAGGGAGAGCAGGGTGATGGAAAGGGCTCCAGAAAGACCCAGCACTGCCAAAAGGGTAGAGAAGAAAATTATGGTTGTGTGTTTGAGCTGCAGATTTTTCTTAATTGAAATTGGCAAAGGGTTTGCAATCTGGTTCTGCGTTCTGCCATGTGTGTGACGGTCCTCCCTTCACAACAGGCTTCAGGGGCTTTGGCAGCCTTTGCTCCAGCACGACATCGCCTGGCTCGGGGGTTGGCTGAGCACGGGGCTGCCTCTGGTTCTGCTCGGGCTGGGAAATGGGTCCATGAAGATCGGCCTGAGAGTTGGATTCAACTCCTAGAGTAACTCTTATGTTGATGTCAGGAGGAAAACTGTGTTTCTGCTTTGATTCAGACTGTAAATACAACTGAACTCCAATGTTGGTAGATCTAGGGCAGAAACAGAGTTTTCCAGCACAAAGAGCAATTTGGATTTTCAGTTATAAAAGTTTGTCATTTGGGAACAGGGATCAGCTAGAATTGTGTCACTTGCCCTCTCCCCCCCTTTTTCTATTAAAAAAATAATCAATATAACCCCCAAACTTCTAATGAAATAAAAAGATGGGAGTAGGAGCAAAGATGTGCCTTACGATACATGTCACTTATTGCAGTGCAGCAGAAGAGCTTAGTGAGATGATGTCAGAAGTTGCTAAAGCTGAAACTCGAATCATCAAGGCAGACCACATCTTTTCCCTTGTTTTCATTTCTTTTCTTTCTTTTTTTTTTTCATTTTTTTCCGTATTTTTTTAAAAAAGTGAATTCACTTCTGCATGAAAAGTCGTCAAGCTGTGATACTGTCACTTGAGAGGGGCCAAAAAATCCCCCCTCAGCATCTCTCCAGAGGTTTTTAGAGGGGAGTGTGTGTTGAGAGGATGAGTTTCAGCAGCCGCTGCTGTGGCTGGTGCAGGAGATGCTGCCCCGGGTGGTGCAGGGCTCAGCCCATCACAGCAGCGCTCCCTGTGCCCCGAGCATCATCCCTGTGGTATCATCACTAGGTGCTGCTGCTGCATTAAATATGTTTTATGACATGCAGCAGAAGAGAGAGAAAATGCTTTCCAAGCCCATGAATGACTATGTTTGAAACTGTTCCCTCCCCCTTAAATTTGTAGTGTAAATTGCAGGGATTAGTGGTGGGTAGAGAATAGGGTTTGTGATCCCCAAAATTTCAGGAGTTTGTAAATGTTATTGCTTAGCATTAAGACATTAGGGAGAAATTATTTTAAAAGCCTGCAGAGATGGGGACTAGCCAGTTGAGGCAGGTATATGCTAGACTGAAATTTGAAATAGCTGTTTTGCTTGACTTGGGCTGTGTACTTGCACTGCATATCCCATGTTCCAGAGCCCTTTAAAGAAAGTGTGAAACCCTCTCCAGATATTTATTGATTTTTTAAAGATGAAATTAACTATTGATGTGTAAAGGAAAACTCATTAAAAATATTGTTCTCTGTGTACTACCAGGGGCATGTTTCTGGCAGAGGAGGAAGATCCCCCATCAGAGGCCGACAAGGCACAATGCCTTGTGGTGTAGATACTCCTCACAATAGAAGCTCCAGTCCAGGCACCGAGCGGGGCAGAGCAGTGCCTTGAGCCCTAACTGTCGAGAGGTGCTTTAGGATCAGCTGTTCTATTCTGGTTGTGATGAAAACAGGAATAAAACTGATGTGTTCTTGCAAAACCTCACTTCTTTTTTTGGGGGAAGGGTTGTTGTTTGGGGTTTTTTTGATAAGTGACCTGATTTCTCTGTCCACCTCCCATATTAAGAAAACACCAAACAACAAACTACTGAATGGAAGAAGCTGGATCTTATCAAGTACCTGACTGAAAACAGCAGCATTCCTCCTGTGAAATCTAAAATTCAAGCTGCCAACTCTTAAGTTAATTTTTATTTTTATCCTCAATGTAATTTTGGTCTGAGGCGGTTTGCTGCTACTTTTTCTGATGTGATTCACTTTTTTCTATCTCCTTTCCTTAAGAGCCCTGTGGGCAGCGTGACACCCTAGGCTGTCTGGCACGGTGTTGGTGGCTGAGGTCCCTGCCGAGGAGCGGGTGGCAGCGTCCCAGAGGGGAGCTGGAGCAGCTGCTGTGGGACAGAGGATGCCAAAAGGAGCTGAAGGGCACCGTGGGTGGGCAGCAGCCATGCTCTGATAGCTGTGTGCTCCAAGGAGCTGGAGGAACACTAGTCTGCTTTCCCTGTAGTTAACATTGTCTTTAGGTGGGGAAGACTGATACAGCTCCTTTGGGACTGGACCTTGTGGTAATGGGGGCCAGAAGGAGCGTGTATTTTCAGCCAGGCAAAACGGCTCTGGAAAAGCCTGTGAAGCTGTGGGGCTGAAGACCACAACAGGAGTTCCTGGCAATGCCAGTGTCCCCAGCTCTTTGCTCAGGTTGAAGAATCGAATGCCAGATTTGAAGCTGTTTTATATCCAAGCCATTGTTCTACCATAGTATTTTGTCATTTCCTTTGCCTTTTGGTATGTGTGTGATGAGCACTAATGAAGTTTGTAGTGTTCTGCTGTGAATTGCTGCTGGCAAGAGTAATAGAAAGGTGAAAGCAGACTGAGCTCTAAAATACTGTAACTTCATCAGGGAGAGAAGATTGTCCTTTAAGCTTTCTCCTTTCCATCCTTACTGTTTGATTAGTCCTTTCCCCTTGCTGTTGCCTTGAGCCTTTATCCTTTTGTACCTTTGCCTCCAATCTCCTCGTACCCATCAGGAATTCACCTGTGTTTTATTATTTTATCATATATCATTTTAAGTTTTGAGCACTTTTTCACCTCTCATACTTAAATTGCATTTTCCTGGTGTTTTATTTATACTCACCCAAGAGAGACAAACTTGAATATCACAGTGAGGCATTTATGCCAGTGGCTTTCATATGTGGCAGCAGCCTGTCCTTGAGTGTGGTACCTGCACCAGGGGCTGCCATCCCTGCAACCCAGTGTACCCAGCACGGACCTTCCCAGACCCCTTCACAGAAGACAAGTGCCAGGACCGGGATGATCCATGAGAGCAGAGCTGGGTACCAAAGCAGGGTGTTTGGCATCTAAAGATGTTCCAGGGACATGAAGGACTGTAAAACTTTCTGCTCGAGGGAGGAGGTGGGGGAAGGAAAAGCCAGTATATCGCAGGAACATCTTGTCAAAAGTCTACAGGCTACAGACTGTGACCCTGTCATCCTGCCCAGGAGTTCACAGCAGTATTCGTAGCCTGCGTGCAGAAAACCGAATTGGTGTTCAAGCCAGTGCTTTCTGTTGTGCAAGACCCCATCCACGAACTGGATCCAGCTGACCACCTACAAAACCAGAATAAATGCTGTATTTTTTTTTCACTCAGAAATGAAAATTGGAACTCCTAATTTATTACAGAAAAAAATACTCAACTTCCTATTTTATGTCATATTTAAATATGGGGAGGGGGAAGCAAAGGACCCAAGTTTATGGCAGTTGTGCTGGATCTATGCAAAACAGGATTTTCTTAAAATGTGTGGCTGTTCTATTCAATTTCCATTAAATTGTCCTTATCAGACATTTGTAGCTGTATATCCCTTCATATGTTAATTAAATAACATGGCAATTTTGCTAACATGTTCTGCTTTAGCACTTGTTTTCTAATTAGGAAAAAGCTTGTTTGGAGATGAAGAACCCTTGGTTGCACTGGTTAGCTCTGGAGTTTGATGCAAGGCTTTCTGTGTTTAAACACTAATGCCAACTCAAAAGTAACCAGTGGGGATGTGCCCATGGAGGCCTGTGAGCACAGGCTCTGTCAAGGACGGCTCTGAACGTTTTTGTCTTTGCAGGTAAAAAAAGCCAAGATGCAGGAATCCAGAGAACAAAGCTTGAGGTACGTAATTTTGAATTTGATTTTAGTGTGGAACAGTTATTAATGTTCTTCTATCATTATAAGCTTCCATTTTAGAAGCTTGCATATTATTTTATTTTTCAGGAAGATGGGGTAAATACAAGTCACTTTTGCATTTGATAGAATTTAGAGATTAAGTTCCAAATAAAAAAAAAAAAATTACTGGCCCTTTGGTATTAAGCTTTATAAAAGTGGCTACAAAGAGGCTTAATTGCTTCATCAAACATCTGTTTTTTGATGGAATCTCATGAAACTCACATACTGCACATAACATGCATTATTCTGGTGAGACTCAGAATATTTTGATATCCGTGCTATGATTCTCAGCAAAACTTTGTGGGTAACTGCTTTAGGAAGATAAACCCACTCAAGTTGATAGCCTTTTCTATGTAAAACTGTTGTACTATTTTTAGCCTCAGTAGATGCTTTCTGATATATGATGGAATTAATTACTCGCTATTATTACATTTAGGGAGCACAGCTATATTAGGGTTTATTCTGGTCCTGTGAAAAGTAGCAAATATGATCAAGAGAGATTTCTTTTTGGAGTCTCTGACATCCCAGTGTGAGTGAGGAGCAAACACTGTGCTGTTCGTGCAGGAGTGGATGTGATACACTGAAGCCCTGAATGGGGACATTAGTACATATTTTTTTAAAAATCGAAGAGAATACTTTAACAGGAAACAGTGAGCAAACAGTGTGTGAAATCCATTTTATGTTTGAAAGTTAGAAATGGGAACTAATCACTGCAAGCCCCCTTCCTCGCTGTTATGAGGGGAGATGAACCATGTCCTAGGAGGGTTTTTTCTCTGTTGGTGACAAAGGGGCTGAGGGCAGCACAGGCAGGTCTGAACATGCCCGGTGAGTGTGTCAATTTTTCTGCTTCAGGGCAATCACAGCTTTTCCTACAGGCACCAGTAGCCTCACAATTTGAGTGTAAACATCCTTATATAGTCTTTAAAAATAGAATGGAAGGGAGAGATAAAATTGCATTTCTCACCTGCTTAAATATTCTGGTTCCATTTTGATAAAACTATATATGATTCTTAGTTTGACCTGTGGGATAGTTTAAAATAATTTATTAGACCTGTTTCTCCTTGGCCAACATGATTTTCAGCTGATGTCAATCCTCTGGCTGTATGTGTTTTAGCTGAATTGTGGAGGTGGGGAAGGGAAGAGTGATCCCCAGTGAGGGTCCTCTCTTGGGAGCATTAAGTATCCGTAAGAGTCTTAACCCTTTTGTGAATACGATGTGCTCTGCTGAGTTAGTGAGAGCTGAAAAGTTGTAAGTGATGGAAGATAAGGGCCCTTGGGATGGAGGTGTCCCCAGAGCCACAGGTGGGTGTGCTGAGAGCAGTGGTGAGAGAGAGCGAGCAGAAGCATGGCCTGGTGTGGTATGGTCAGAAACATTATTTTATCTATTGCGTTTTCCACAGGAAGGGTTCCCAACGAGCAGCTCTCAGAGTGCTTGCAGACTGCATGCCATTTGACAGCCGCAGATCGGTATCTGCGCCACAGAATCGCAGCATTTTTTCCACCAAGAATAGTAGTACACAAATACCCTGACTCTACGTAGAAACATGCTATTTTCTTGTAAAACTCACATTTTATTATGGAAGTCAGTTCAGTTACTAGTACTATGGAAGATTTCCAAGGATTTTGTTTATAAAGGTTTTCAGGGGGAAAAACGCTGGTGATGCATTTTGGTTACACTTCGCTCCCTCTCAGCAGCCAAAGGCAGGCAAATCAGTTGCCTGATAACCAAACCCATGGCACTCACCAGCCAACTGCCCCCTTACCTAGTCCCAGGAAACTTGCACCACCTTGTTGATTGCCTCGTTGGCTTTAGTTTTATTGCTGCTAGTTCTGCAACACAGTTTTTCATGAAGTTTTGAGGTATCTGCATGTTATTCTGATATCCCCAGGCTGCAGTTTTACGTGGCAGCTTATTGCTGCTGCAAGGGGCAGTTCTGCTTGTGGCTCTAATGTGCACCAAATATGGTGCTTGCTGCATCCCTCCATGAGCTGAGTCTGTTCAGTATCCTAGCAAAAATAACTGCCTGTTTTTTGTGCTGGATGAGCAAATCAAACTCTGCTGGAGAGGCTAAGGGGTGGCTGAGCTGAGGCAGGGGAGCAGGAGGCTGTGCCCAGGCGAGGGGAAAGAAGTTGGTCCTTTCCACTGCAGCTGAGCTGCTGGGTCTGCTGAGCTGTCAGTGAATCTACAGTCTTATCTTGAGAGACCAGTTGGCGAGTAAATGTGCTGGACGTGATGACAGTTTAATGTCTAATTAGAGCTGCAGATATCTCTCTTGGGATCTCTGTGAAGTATCAAAGAGTGCAGAGCTAGTTTCTGTTAAGCAAGGTGCCTGAGGACTGGAAGAAAGCCGATATCACTCCAGTCTTTGAAAAGGGCAAGGAGGACCCAGGACGCTACAAGCCGGTCAGCCCCACCTCCGTCCCTGGAAAGATGATAGAACAGCTCGTTCTTGGCATCATCTCAAAGCATATGGAGGAAAAGAAAGCTATCTGAAGCAGTCAACACAGATTCACCAAGGGGAAATCATGTCTGACCAATCTGATAGTCTTGTACTGGATGAGAGTAGGGTGGTGGATGTGTCTACCTTGACTTCAGCAAGGCTTTTGACACAGTCTCCCATAGGTGAGCTTTGGAAGTGTGGGTTAGATGAATGGACAGTGAGATGGATTGAAAACTGACAGAGCTCAGATGAATAGTGGCACAGAATCCAGTTGGAGGTCTGTAACTAGTGGTGTTCCCCAGGGGTCAGTACTGGGCCCAGTCCTCTTCAATATATTCATCAATGACCTGGAGGAAGGGATGGAATGTACTCTCAGCAAGTTTCCTGATGATACAAAACTGGGAGGGGTGGCTGATGATACCAAACTGGGAGGGGTGGCTGACACACCAGAAGGCTGTGCCGCCATACAGCAAGGCCTGGACAGGCTGGAGGGTTGGGCAGAGAGGAACCTGGTGAAATTCAACAAGGGCAAGTGTAGGGTGCTGCACCTGGGGAGGAATAACCCCCTGCACCAGGACAGGTTGGGGGCTGACCTGCTGGGAAGCAGCTGTGCAGAATAGGACCTGGGAGTCCTGGTGGACAACAGGATGCCCATGAGCCAGCAATGGGCCCTTGTGGCCAAGAAGGCCAATGGCATCCTGGGGGGCATCAGGAAGAGTGTGACTAGCAGGTTGAGGGAGGTTATCCTGCCCCTCTACTCTGTCCTGATGAGGCCCCATTTAGAGTACTGTGTCCAGTTCTGGGCTCCCCAGTTCAAGAATGGCAGGGACCTGCTGGAGAGGGTCCAGCAGAGGGCTACAAAGATGATGAGGGGCCTGGAGCATCTCTTTTAGGAGAAAAGGCTGAGGGACTTGGGTCTTTTTAGTCTAGAGAAGAGAAGACTGAGGGAGGATCTGATCAATGCTTATAAATACTGAAAGGATGGGTGTCAGGAGGATGGGGCCAGTCTTTTTTCAGTGGTGCCCAGTGAGAGGACAAGAGGTAGTGGGCACAAAGTTGAACATAAGAAGTTCCATCTAAACATGAGGAGGAATGTCTTTCCTGTGAGGGTGGCAGAGCCCTGGAAGAGGCTGCCCAGGGAGGGGGTGGAGTCTCCTTCTCTGGAGACATTCAAACCCCCCCTGGACACGTTCCTGTGCAACTGCTCTGGCACAGGGTTGGACTGGGTGATCTCCAGAGGTCCCTTCCAACCCTGTATCATTCTGTCATTCTGTGAAGAGTCAATTTGCCTCAGTTAGGAAGGCTGAACCCAGGGGCTGGGGTGCCCAAGGATGTTAATTTAAGAACTGATAATGCTAATGATTATTCTTTGTTTGTCCTGGCAGTCATGTGAGCAACACAGAAGTCAGTGATCAGAAACCTGAATCCTCAAGCCTTGGTTCAAACCTTCCCATGTCCAGTGAGAGTAAGTATCTTGTGGAGTTCTGCTCTCTCTGTCTTTCCTCTTCCACTGGTCTCATTACTTTGCTTCATCAAGCATGAGCTTTGTCTTCTCCTTGTAGTACTTTACCTGTCTTCAATACCAGTTGTAGGGTGAATGTTTGCTGTGGTGCTTATAAAGCGTTAATGCCCAATGGTAACCAAATAGCTCTTTCTAACAAATATTTTTGTGTCCCTGTCCCCAGCTTGCTGCTGGGTACTGCTATGTCTAATCCACTTTATACGTGATTCTTCTTGAGGGAAGGGATTGAGCTGGTTGGGTCTTTTGTAGTAATATACCATGCACTTAATCTGAGACCCTGAACTGTAGTGAATGTCTGCAGAAATTCTTTATGAGGGGAGGGGGAAACCAGGGCAGAAAATAAAACATTGTATAGGAAATGAGAGGTGGAACGTGTCCTTTCTTTTGGAAAAGGAGGGCTGGAGGTTATTACAAAAGTAGGGTTCCTCTGTAGAATACCATTGACTGCCCGTACTTATTTATAAGTGTAAATCAGCTCGACTTGATTGAAAATATGTAATACATAACTTTCCATTCATTGCTAATTGATTGCATCTTTACTATTTTAATCAATTTGCTGTGATGTTGCAGGAGTTACCAGTTCAGCCAATTACAAATTTCAGAAGTTGCATGCAATAATATTGTAGGTTGTTTTTTTCTTTTTCACACCATTACCTGATTCTTCATGTCCTATTTTAAAAATAAGAATTCTAGAAATAGTGACATTCTTTTTATAAAAAAAGGCATTTTTGCAGGAGGGATGTAAAGATATCTGATGTGTTCAATGAAAGCCTTTAGATCCAGAAGTTCCCAGTCTGCGTTTCCTGTTGTATCCTTGTGCTACACGGGCTTTACACCGTGAGTACAGGCACACACTGAGGACCAGAGGGTGGTGATTCATGGAGGCTTCATGTGGCTGATGGTTTGTATTTCTCAGCCGCTTACACTCAGACTACATTAAGAGGAAGTTATTTAGGTAGCAGATGCAAATGCTAGGGTTGCCTGTGCAAACTAGCTTGCTCCCCTTAGTGGATATGACTGATATGAGAGCTGACTACATGAGGGTACAAGAGCAGTAACATCGTAGGACTGTTCCAGATAGGGAGAGCCTGACTTGTTGAAGCACATCACTGGCATCTGGAGCAAATTCCCAAGTAGGAAGTGATAGGACAGGAGATGGCCTCAAGTTGTGCCAAGGGAGGTTTAGTATGGATATTAGGAAAATTTCTTCACCAAATGGATTATCAAGCATTGGAAGAGGATGCCCAGGGCCATGGTGGAGTCGCGATCCCTGCAGATGTCAGTGGTGGACATGGCAGTGTTGGGTTAATGATTGGACTCGATGATCTTAAAGGTCTTTTCCAACCTAAATGATTCTATGATTCTGTTCTGTTATTCCTTGAAGATGATGGTAGCAGCTGGTAAAGAGAAAGAGCACTGTTACAAAGGTAGAGATAGTATTGACTGAATCATCTCCCTGCTGTGAACTGTCAAGAAAAACATATTTGTGCTGTTTTAACAGTGCATCTTTTCAGAATTTGCTTTGAAACATATTTAAAGTACTAAAAAAACTTTGTAAATCCTGTCTTGGTTAAAGTGTTTGCATGCTGGTATTGAATTGTCATTGTTCATGGGGTTTTGAAATTGCCTGTGTAATTATACAAACTATTTTTTTTTCAGTTATGACATGCACTGATTATATCCCAAGGTCATCAAATGATTATACCTCACAAATGTATTCTGCAAAGTAAGTTGAGCAATTGTTACTAAATTCTGTAACTCTTATTTCTTTCTGAAGTTATATTTTTGCCACTTTGTGCACTTCTGTAATGCTGTAAATCACACTTCCATATCTGCTGGCAACAAATACTCATTGCTGTGAACACTGAAGCTGATAGAAGTCACCCTTTGGCTTCAGTGGCTGTTGTCTTTTGATCATAAGGATAAATGAGCCACTTCAAGTAATTGAAAACACAATAACCTTGTTGAGTAATGCCCCCAATATGTGAGGAATAAACAAACTGGGTATAAATGAATATAAGGGGAATATGGGATTTTCAGGTCATTCACCACCTTTGGGGATCTTAAGAGTTCTTCCCATGGTAGCATAGAAGGCCTTAGTTCCCCACACCTGCTTGTGTGTAGTCTCTTTTTGTGTTCCAGTAGTTTTGACATGTACTACAATATTGTATTAGCTTTAGGATTTGGTGTTGTGCGGTATGATAAGTGAAACTAATTGCTTGTGCCTGTTGGAATGGGGAGTTTGTTCTTCCCCTCTTACCCCTGCTCTGCCAGTCCTGGAATAAGCACTGGTGTTCTGGTACCACAGGGTAGAGTTTCCCTGGTGTCCGGGCAAGAAACAGGCAGGACATAGAAAACCAGAGCCTGTTGTATTGGGAAACACAAGCAGGTGTTACACTAAGAGCACGTGTCAGTGTGTATTGTTTCTTCTTCCTAAAGCAATTTTTTTATGTGTCTTCGGGTTCAGAGGCTGAAAAATGCATAATGTAAATTGTTCTTTTTTACTTTTGTTCTTTCTTTTTAATAAGGCCATATGCACATATCCTTTCTGTACCTGTATCGGAAACAATGAGCCCTTACCCTGGTCAGACTCAGTACCAAGCACTACAGCAGTCTCAGCCCTACACCATCTACCCCCAGACCACCCAAACCTATGGACTACCTCCTTTCGGTAAGACTTCTCAGTGCCTGCAATTGTCTTATGTCTCATTAAAAAGCCAGTGTTAAGCTTAACCAGGTGTGTTGGAAAGAAGAGTTTGTTGGAGAGCACATGCCTAACTTAAATTGTAGATCGGTACCTACAGTACAGATGGGACTTCATATTATAAAATGTTATTTCTTACAAAGCTGTTTTCCTGTCCATTAATTTGGATGTCTCCTCATGAAACTTGCCAGGCGGTTCTTAGTTTGGGATCATACTTTTCTCCAGTTGTGCAGTTTCCTTGGCAGTGAAATCACACAAGACCCCATACTACAGCATCTCTGCTGAAGGTATTTTTCCTTTTCTTTTTGCTGTCCAGGATTAAGATGTTTTTGCTACCTTATCTTTCAACAAATTTAGATTTTATGCTAAAATGTCTCCAAGCTTACTAGGCAAGTGAGTTTGCTTAAGTTGCTCTAATACTTGAGCCCTCTATTAGCCATACCAGCGTTTGCAAATGATTGAGGGGTGTAAAAGTCCTGTCGCAGCCGAGCAGCTACAGCTGGATGACAGGGTGTGAGCCATTCACCCTGTGCTTCCTTTGTAGTGCAGGGAGGGAGGCCACACACTCCGGTGCTGATCTGTTTTAGAAGATAATAGCCATCTTTCCATCGTGTATAAAGGGAGTTGAGGATGAGGAGTGCAGACAGAAAAAAATCTAGCTCCTGGGTGGGTTAGCTAGTGAGAGGAGCTGCCTGGTCTTTCCTTGTGCTCTGCGTATGTGTCAGGCACTCGGGAGAAAACCCACAGGACTGACTACCCCCACATGTATGAAATTTTATAACTGATTATTAAAAATTAACATTTTAACTTCTCTTTTCGTTTTTGATGTTGCCCTGCTTGGTTTCATGTGTAAATATTGCATATTGTCGCCCGCTCTCAAAAGTGCATGTTGGCAAAGGCTATTCTGCAGCACTCACCTGTAAGGAGGGGACAGCATCGCCCCTCCATGCCGGTCCCTGGGGAGCTGTGTGTCCCCAGCATGTCCTTGGGGAGCTGTGTGTCCCCAGTGTGTGCTACCCGCCAGCAGCGCAGCTGGGAGATGGACATCAAAGGTCTGCCTCAGGGGGTTGTCGTGCTGTGTAGTGGAATGAACAGAGCCTCTAGCAGATTTATCTTTAGTGCTAAACTCTTCATATCTTGAAATGTAAAGGGGTTACTTTTTCCTTAGCTGAAGAACTAGGTGTCTGAACAAAACCAACTTTTGTTGGCTTTTGTTGTCCTTCCCTGACGGAGCAAGGACTTTGTTACGGTTTGAGAAACCCACAACAATTTATTGTCTTTTAGACAATTATTTTGTCACCTGATTACCCCTCCCCACGTAGGATGGGGAATCAGAAATACAAGGAAACATGAGGGCTGAAATATGAATAGATTTAATAGGATAAGACTAACCAATTAACATTAATAATACTGAAGAACCAGGATTGATCCCAATACCAATATAAAATACCCAAGGACTGTCCCCCACCCATTCCCCCAGCAGGGAGCTGTGCACCCCTACCCAGTGTGGGACCCTGTGAGTGCTGCGGCTTTGGGAGGAAGGGACGGGTTCCGGGCTCAGGCACCGGGGCAAGGAGTTCTCAGGATGGCAGCCATCAAGGAAGAGAGAGAGAACTCTTTCTAATTTCTGTTGGATGGTAAAAATAACCTGTTCATGGTATGAAATAACCCCATTGGCAGGTTGGGTCAAGTGCCTGGGTCTTGCTCCACCTCATCCCTGCACCTGGCAAGACTCAAAAATACTGAGACCTTGAATCCCACATAGCCCAGCTGTCTGTAAAGTAAATATTTTCATGAATTCAGACACTAGAGTCTTCTAAAAGTGCAGTTTTCCCAAGCATTAGTGCTATGTCGCTCAAACCAGGACAGATTTTTATATAAATTGCAAAACAATTGATTTTTCATGGTGTTTTTTAAAGGTAGTGTAGAAAGGATGATACAACTAGGTTCAGTTTTACTAGACGTAAGTTACATTACTAATACTGTTTAAATAGGGCACAAATTGCTACCTTTATGAGAACAGTCAACATGTAAAATGAATCTACATTTCTTTCTTTTTTTTTTTAATATATATATATATATATACACCTGGGATTAATGGAAAAGGGTTTTCTTGTGGTTGAGGGATCCTTAGGAAGAAAGCAATGGTTTTGTAGTAACTGGGGTGCAAGGGTTTGATCAAACAGCGTCTCCCAAATCTGCTTTACCCTGCATTAATGCTGAGATAGGTTGTTCTGACTGATCACTTGAACTGCCATAAAGTGGGAGCTTTGCAGGGGGTAAGCACTGGGCTGTTTTATTAGCAATCTGAGGCTCTCCAGGAGAGCAGGGCCATTTGGGAGGCTGGTGGGGCATTTCTAGCTCAGCCCCTGCTGGTAGGGTTCAAACAGGACCGTGTTGCAGAGCTGGGTAAAGCAGCCAGCCCTCCCCACCACCTGGCACCATGAGGGTCTCAGGTCTCACATCCTGGGCGTCTTTAGTTTGGAGAAGAGGAGGCTGAGGGGAGACCTCGTTGCCCTCTACAGCTCCCTGAAAGGAGGGTGTAGAGAGTTGGGGGTTGTCCTCTTCTCCCAAGTCAATAATGGCAGGACCAGATGAAATGGTCTGAAGTTGGGGCAGGGGAGGTTTAGATTAGATATTGGGAAGAATTACTTTACTGAGAGGGTGGTCAGGCCCAGGAACAGCCTGCCCAGGGAGGTGGTGGAGTTGCCATCCCTGGAGGTATTTAATAAACGCGTAGACATGGCACTTCAGGGCATGCTCTAGTGCCCGAGATTGTTGGTTTGTGTCTGTCTGTGGGTGGGTGTGGTGTATAGGGTGGTTTGGGTTTTTTTTTTTTGGTTTGGGGTTTTTTGGGGTTTTTTTGTGGTTGGACTCAATGATCTCAAAGGTCCCTTCCAACCATGAAGATTCTGTGATTCTGTGATTTCTAGTGAGTGAGGACCTTGTTGACTCTGTGACATGTCCTGCTCCGCCAGTTGTGTTTTCTGAGCTGCCTTCGTTCCTCCAGGAGAGCTTTTACATGAAAAGCTGAACGGGTGCGGAGCAGCCTGTTGCTGTGTCCATCCCAAGCCTCCAGTTGCCAGTGCAGTTTGGCTGCTAAATCCCTAAACTCTCTGCTCCTGCTCTTTTTGTCCCCTTGTAGTTTTGGGTGTTGTCATAATGGTCTGTTATGTACAAACCATGCCTGACCCCGTGTTAAGGTTGCTGGAACGTAATTCTCTTCCCCGGGTGCCTGCACTTGACGGTCAGTGCCTTGTTGCACTGTTTTTTTCTGTACCTGACTGGTGGTTGGTGATTTCCTTTACTACCTTATTTGGTGTTTATTGATGGTTTGTTGAGGACAGTGCACTGAGGCTACTTCGTATATTCTTAAGTATTTTGCTCTGCCGCCTTTTTTTTTTTTTGTGTGTAAATACGTGGAATGCTCCCTTGAAGTGTTAAAGTGTTAGACCAAGATCTTTGAAGAGGTGGTTTAGACTTGTAAATTCTTTTGGAGGAGGGAGGATGTAGGGAGTTTTGTTAGTGTTTTGTGTTTGTGTGATGTTTTGGCAGTGTAGTGGTGGCTGTATTGGGGGTGGTGTTTGGGTTTTTTTTAATCCACAGGTTCTGGAATTCCGTATTTGGCTGTTTCACTGTTATAATATCAATTAACAGTAGAAATTCTTCTGAAGACCTAGTCAGGAGATCAGCATTTTCTATTGACTTCACAGGAACTTTGTTAAACACCGTCTGCAATGTGATCAGTTACTGAAATGTCTTGGTATGGATTTTGAGGTTTGTTATTAAACACCTGCATTTTTATTCTGAATTCAAGTGTTAGGAAGATGTTAAAAGTTGTATTTCCAGTAATGGAAATCATACTGGAGTGGTACCTGCTCGATCGTAGTGAGAAGATGGACCTTGCTGCCTTATCGAAGCTGCCTCACAGAACGAGGGGGAAGGACGGGCGCCACCAGGCTGAGAGTGTGCCCTGCCCAGCGGGAAGCAGAATATGTCTGTACTGGGAGATGACAGAAACAGCCATGGAAAGCAGGGGCTGAAAGTGCCTTAGGGCAGGACCCTACCCCTCTCCTTCGCTGGCATCCAACCAGCCCTGCCAGTCCCTCTGAGCAGGCTGTCTGACCTACAGCAGTCAGAGCTGGTTTCTGTTTCATTGTCACAGCTCTTTGGCACTTCTGTGTGCCCTGTGGCCTCTCATCATGTTGCTCTCTGCTCCTTGTCCATCTGTCTTGCACTGTGAGGAGCTGTTGGTTACCATCCGCTCTAAAAACTACTCACCTACTTGAAGATTATGGCACTCCCTTTCCAGACAAAACAAATGCAACTACTCCTGCACTCCTTAGAGTATCCGTTTCCCATACATTTTAGTCTGAAGTTTCTGCAGTATATCTACAATCTCTCTTAAATCAGTCTTTCCCTTTTGTTTGCTAATTATCTTGAGGTTTGAAACAGTAACGAAGATACAACTTGAGAGTCAAAGAATCAAAACCCTGTTGTGGCTGTGAGTGACTTAATTTGACTCATAGGTGGCAGGTTTAGATCAGGTATGTAACTAAATCAGAGCCATTGCAGAATTTAATTCTGACAAAGCCACAGCATGGATTGAGCTCTTGGAGCTGCTCTGGAGTTTCCCATGTCTTCTGGGTAGGAGATTTGGAGCTCGGAGCTGGTGGCTCGTCATGTGGGTGAACAGCTGCAGGTGGCTTTCACAGCCTTGGTACTGGTTGGGGGGGCTTAAGAAGAGGGTGGTCTTTCTGCTGGCCCTGAACTTTGTGTCTAGTTCCAAACGTGTCCTTTGTCCCTCTGTTTTGCACACTCCTGCTCTTTTTTAAGTAGATCGTCTCAACTGATTCCTGCTTTCTAACCAGTGCCAGGGAGAAATGCCTTTGACTTTAGCTGTAGGTCTGGAAACACTTAAACAAAAGGCTGAAGAGCCCTGAAGAACCGGGCCTGAACTAAGCTCCTTCCATTGGATGCTGTTTTCACCCCATCTGTGCAGACTAGACCTAGAAACCAGACTGCTTATGTGCACCTTCTGCAGATGAATGACAGCCACTTTGCTCTCTCTGTGCTTTGCCCAGTGGTGTTACAAATGCTTTCCACAATGGCAGGAAATTTAGAAGAAACATTTACATTTTTTTTCCCCCCTTCATTTTTAAGCTCTATATTCACTGTGTTCAGTCTATGAAAATTACTGACTTGTGGCTTGTTTTAAAATATTCATGCAAAATCCCGGTGAAGTAGTGGGAGTGTTGACCTTGACCTTAATAGATACCAATGTCAGCCTCGCTGTGTAATAGCTGAGGTCATTTGCGGCGCTGTGCAACTCTCCCAAACAGCAGAGGCATTAGCTGTTCCTTTATGCTGACCTGGCGGTGAATTTTACTGTGACACTAATAGATTTTTAGTTGAAAGCTTTGGAAATTACTCTTGTTGGTGCTTTTAATTTTCTCTTTTTCAGCTGGTTTTGTCAGCAGCTCTAATCCGTTCACAGCCTGACAGTCAGCACTTACTATTGCAGAATTAAACATCTTCCATGTATGATTTGTTACTTGCTTTTGTGATGAGCAAAAATCTTAATATGAGGTAGCAGTATGCTGTTTGGTCCCAGCATATTTGTTTGTAACTGGTCCAATTTATCTGATTCAGGTGCACTGTGGCCAGGTATGAAACCTGAAAGTGGTTTAATTCAGACTCCATCTACAAGTCAGCACAGTGTTCTTACCTGCACTACAGGGTTAACCACAAGCCAGCCCAGCCCAGCACATTATTCTTATTCCATTGAAGGTAACTTGGCATGGTTTTTATCTGCATCTCTCTCCACCTAATTGAGTCCAGATACCACAAATAGAGAGGCTTGCACGTTTGTTCTTGGTTTGTGCATGCTTCTTTATGCTTTGCCTCTTTTCTCTTTGTGTGTGTGTATGTGTTTGGTTTTGTATTTGCTACATACCTCTGTATGCACCAGGCTGGCTTGTTGGTGCCACGCTGATGGACTTAAGAGGGTGAGAAGCAAATGGGAAGGGGAGAGGAGCCTAAATGTTTTATTCTTGCATGCCTTTGCTGGGAATGCTCTTACAGCTCAAGCTCTTTGTTGGTGGTCTTTAGCTTGATGTCAGGAAATACTCTGACTGACATTGGATTTTTTTTGTTTTAATTATTTCTGGAGGTAGATGGCTCACATATTACACAGTTGGTAGATCTGCTGGAAAGTGAAATTCTCAGTATAGAACTAGCCTACAAATATTCCAGCTTCTGGAAGTGCCACATCTAAGAGGCCAAGTGCTGAATTTCACCAGCTTCCAAAGCAATTTTTTAGGTGTAAATGTGCCAGTTAGCTGAATAATGGAATATTGTTGTTTATGGCAAGTATATGCAAATTGATACTTTTTTGCTAGACAGGATTTTTGCCATTTATGTTTGGGTGATTAATTATGAAAATTTGTTTCTTTCTCTTTGCTTTCTAAAAAGCATTTCAGGAATTCTTAATCTTTCTTGTGTGATATTTTAATAGAATAATTTAGGGACTTCAGGAGATCTTTTGTTCAGCCTCTTGCTCACAGAGTTGACAGTGAATTCAGAACCAGGTTTCTCAGGGCTTTATCCAGTTGGGTCTCAAAAACCTCCAAGGATGGAGATTTCACCAATTCCGGTGCCTGACTATCATCATGGTGAAACTTTTTTAATATTGTCACCTTGGTGCATCTCCTCATTCATGTTGTGACTGTTTCTCTCCTTCTCCTGCTGTGCACCTGCAAAAAGAGCCTGGCTCTGTCTTCTTGATGACCACCATGCAGGTACCAGCAGGCTGCTCTCGGGTACCCCAGCCGTCTCTTCTCCAGGTTGGACAGTCCTGCTCCCCCGAGCTGCCCTGGCAGGGCACGTGCTGCAGCTCCCTGACTGTGTTGGTGGATCTTTGCCTGACCCACTGAATTTTATCAATATGTTTCTTCTCCTTGAGGCCCCAAACTGAATGTTGTATTCAGATGTGGTCTAATGAGTCCCAAGTAAAGGGGAATTGACTCTTAAAATTAGCAATAAGAGGGTTTTAGCATATCTGATAGCAACGCCAAATGGTATGTCATGCTTGCATCATTGTGACAGTAAATGGCCCAGCATAATATTTATAATTAATTTACTTTTCACCTTCTTAACATGAGCCATACACCACTGGAAATACTACTTTCCTTCAAACATAACGGTCCTCCAGGTACTCCCACTGGCAGAACGAATTATAGTCTTGTATAGCTCTAATTGGCAACTGTCAGAAATGATTTTGCATAAGGTGACCCCTGACATTTGCCAGTGATGTACCATGGGGAGCACGGGGCTCCCTGGAGACTGGGCAGGTGACAGAGCCACCTTCAGGCCTCGCTCTGCAGAAGGATTTTAAACCAGTTGATCTGCGTTCCTGTGAGAATGTGTGATTTGAGGAGAGCTTCCCTGTAGGCTGCTCTTCAAAAGTGTGAAAAAATCACTTGAATTGTGTAAATGCTATTGCTTTTTTGAAAAGCTTTTTGCAAACTGGCAGGAAATTCTTCCTTTTTCAGATTTGCTACATTTCCTCTTTGTCAAATTAGCAAGCAGCCCGCTGCGGGGTTGTTATGGTTTGAGAAAACCCATAACAATCTATTGTCATTTAGACAATTATTCTATCCCTGATGACCCCTTCCCACCCGGAAAGGGGAATCGGGGAACACAAAGAAACACAAGGGTTGAAATATGAATAGATTTAATAAACTAAGACTAAATAATTAACAATAATACTGAAGAACCAGTATTAATCCCGATACTGATATAAGATGTACAAGAATTATACTCAGCCAATTCTATCAGCAGGAAGCCGTGCACTCCCAGCAGGGACAGCATATGGTGGACACTGCGAGCTCAATGGCTTCAGGAGGAAGGGAAGGCCTCAGGGTTCCAGCACCGGGGCAAGGAGTTGTCTGGACAGCCACCATCAAGGGAGAGAGAGCTATGCAGCAAACTTTTCTAATTTATATTGAATGTGACGTTCATGGTATGGAATAATTCTTTTGGCCAGCCTGGGTCAAATGCCCAGGCCTTGCTCCTCCTTGTCCCTGCACTTGGCAAGGCTCGGAAACACTAAAATCTTGAATCCCACAGAGCCTGGCTGGCTATAAAGTAAATATTTTCACAAATTCCGACACTAGAGTCTTCTAAAAGTGCAATTTTCCCCAGTATTAGAAGAAAAGTTAGTCCTGTGTCTGTCAACCCAGGACAGGGGTGAGGTCAATGCTTGGAGGTGGTGGAGGGCAGGAGCTGGAAGGATGGACAAAGCTGCTTTGTTAGTAATCTCTTGAAAATCTATCTTTTCTTTCCAGTCAAAACAGTAGGGTGATGCACAGCTGTACCATGCTGCTGTCCCACTGGAGGGGTGTTTCAGTGCATGGATATGGGTTAATCTGTGGATGCTGGACTCGAGTAATGCAGTGTTTGAACCCTGTTGAATGTCAGATGCATTTAGTGACTGAGAACTTTGCTGCTTGTTCTCACCCGAGCGATGGTTGTGGCAATACATCCCCAGAGGCGCTTGGAAGCACCAGGAGCAACATGGGAGGAATGGCTGCTTCTTGCCTCGCCTCTTCCTTCCCTGTGAGAGAAAAGCAGCCAAGTGAAGCATAAAATGCATTAATTGCAATTTCTCTTCCTAGCACATGAAACGGGTTGAAATATCTTTGAAAACGAGTGGAGCAAAAGGGAATGGGATGAATGAGGCAGGGGAGGTAGGGATATGGTGAGGCCCCACCTCAAGTACCGTGTCCGGTTTTGGGCCCCTTACCACAAAAAAGACATTGAGGGGCTGGAGCGGGTCCAGAGCGGGCAGTGAAGCTGGTAAGCGGTCTTCTGGAGCACAAGTCTTATGAGGAGAGGCTGATGGAGCTGGGGGTGTTCAGCCTGGAGAAAAGGAGGCTGAGGGGAGACCTTCTCACTCTCTCCAACTCCCTGAAAGGAGGGCGTAGCCAGGGGGAGTCAGTCTCTTCTCCCAAGGAACAGGCGACAGGCCGAGAGGAAATGGCCTCAAGTTGCTCCAGGGGAGGTTCAGATTGGATATTAGGAAAAATTTTGACAAGGAAGGGGTTATCAAGCATTGGAACGGGCTGACCAGGGAAGTGGTTGAGGCACCATCCCTGGAGGTGTTCAAAAGATGGGTTGACGTGGTGCTGGGGGACATGGTTTAGTGATGGTTTTTTTGTCAGTTAGGTTGATGGTTGGACTAGATGATCTTGAAGGTCCCTTCCAACCCAGATGATTCTATGATTCTATATAGCCTCTGAGGATGAGCTCTGGAAGTGGGGGAGAAAGAAAGAAAAAGAGAAAAAGGGTCACGGCAGCTTCAAGGCAATACTTGTGTTTGCTGATCTTTTAAACCTGAGACCATCAAGCCGTCCCTTTTGCTGCATTCGTGCCAAACATTTTTGCATGTTTTTTGCCCATTCCTATGTAAAAGGAGCTGACCCACAGTGGAGAAAGTATTGGTTAATCTGTGTAGAGGGAGCTGCTTGTAAAGATCTGATGTGTAACACTGTATAGATAAAGGATAATTAAAAAAGAAATCTTAGAAGGAGAAGAGACTTAAGATAAACAAAGAAGGTCTTATGAGGGAATCTGTGGTTTTACCAGAATCCCAACACCTTGGAGTCTTTTTTCTATGATTTCTTAATTTCTGTTCTGTATCTCAGTGGAGAAGCAGCCTCTTCAGAGCACTAAAAGTGATAATCGCTTTCTGTTTGCTCTCTGTGATAATCTTGAGAGAGGTGATAGAATAATCTGTCTTCTAGATAGTTCCTCTCCTCTGGCTTCATGGCAGCTTTGGTTTGTGTTAGCGAGGGTCTTTCCTGGAGAGCTGCTCTTTGCAGTGACCTAGGAAATGGCATTTTCCTAAGTTAATAACAGCCTCGATCTTTTCTATACTGGGTATTGTTGGAAGGAGTTTTATGTGGAAACTAACGTCTGTTCTCTAGCAGTTGCTTCTGAGGAGTATCTGTGACAGGTATCTTACTCTCACAGATGGGCTTCTAGTAGCTGCATAGCTACTGTATGTACTTGAGTATCTTCATTACCATTATTGCTGTTCAGTGCAGCCTTTTTTCCTTTTTCTAAATGTTCTTCTCCCAAAATTCTCTCCCATATGTTTTTGGACACGACTGCTCCTATCTATGAAGGGATTCCCAGGGGCTGATTACTTACCTTTGTTTCTGCTTCCACAGGGATGCCACCCTTCATATTTCTCACCTCTTTTAAATATTGTGTATTTCTGCTCCTCTTTTAAGATACATTTCTTTTGGTTTTCATCTTTTTTGAGGCGTATTTTGGATCCATTCCTCTTTCCAGGAGCTGTTCACCAGGTACTATCTGTGCTTGCCATAACACAACGTACATTGAGTAAGAGTTCATGGTGGGTTTGTTTTCCTGGGGTAGAGACTGCAGCCTTCTGAAGCTTGAGTTCTTCAGTCTCGGGGTGATTCCACTTGGGTGCAGAAAGGTAGGGCTTTTCTCAGAGTAATGGTAAAGTAGGTGATACTGTGGATTTCTGCAAGTCTTTTCATGAGCATCTAAAAGTGATTTTTGGTTTTATTTGTGTGCAGAGAAAGAAGGTTTAGAAAAAAAATATTTGTTGGTGGCACGTGGTTTAGTATGTCTTGAGTTTGTTCATGCTGATTTCATGATTTGTTTTCACTCATCCTTAAGGGTCCCAAAACCCCATGGGTAATGGTAATGATTAATGGAGTGTCCCTCTGGCTGTAAAACCACAAAATCTGCTAATGACCGGTGGTCTCAGATGGTGCTCTAGCAGCCTCTTCTGTGTTTTGGAAGAACCGAATGCAGTGACATGAAGGCTATTAAACATCTTAAAATTCATACTAACATCTACATGTCTCTAATAATTTGTCTTACAAGCTGTTGACAAATTATTTCAGAAAGTCTCACCCAAGAAACAGTTGACATGGGGAGATCTGTATGCTTTCTCCAGTAGGAAGCACCCTTTTAATACTGTTTGAAGTATTTGTATGTTTCCTTAATTTTTTTGATCTCTTTAGATTATATATGTTAATTCCAATGTAGAGATTTTTTTTATTATTATTCAGAGCTGATTTAAACACCTTCATATCCATTTTACTGATTTATTCTGATTGATTTTCAACTGCTACTAATTGCATATAGGAATGTGATTGTCTTCTCAAAACTTTTAGTAAAGATGTGAAACCATTTCAGTTATACTCCAATTCCTTAGCAGGTATGGAGGGAAAAGGTTTCTGAAATATTTGAAAGTACTGTTTTAAAAGATACGCTAGCTCTCCTTCCCTGTAAGCCCAGTTGAAAAGTAACTGGTTTCAAAATACACACAGCGCTTTTTGGGCTGTTACAAGCAGAGTGCTGCTGGAAGCACAAATGCTTGCACATAAGCCTAGTAAGTACTTATTTCACAGCATGGATTGGTCTCGTCTCTTGTGCTTTTCTAGAAGCATTTAATGCAGTAATTCTTAATTTTACAGCATCAACTACCAATGCCAGTCCAGTCTCTACATCCTCAACTGTTGTCAATATTTCCACATCAGCAGTAGCCACCATCTCACAGGTAAAACTTCTTCCTTGCTATATTCACGTGCAGCATCTCCTTCACCTTTGTTTAACACCTTACTCAAAACTAACAAAGGAAGGCCAAATATGTGCATCACTTCAAAAGGAGCACAATGGGTGCTAGAGTTGCAGGGCTCAGTATGTAACTTGAAGTCAGCAAAATGACTCTTGCTGTCCCTTTGACCGTGATGCTTTTCCCTTTGGAAATGCAGTTCATCTGTTCAAAGCTGTTCCCTTGTCTGCAGATGGTGTGGTGAATCTTAAACAGGGTACTGAGGTCTCTGAAAGGGAGGCATTGGAGAAGAAACAATAGAACTATTTTGAGAATCAGACTTCCAGGGAGAATTACAGGTGGATATTTTTTGAATGCCTTTGTTCTTCCTCAGCAAGAAAAGGAAAATTGGTTGTACACAAACAAAGAAAACCCCAGTAAAGCTGGAGTTCCATTCTGATGGTGCTAGAATAAAACAAAGTCAAAAAATCCTGCAGCTAGCACAGAGCCCTTCCCCCTGCCTGTGACCTGCGGTGGGTAATATGTAGGGCTGTCAGTGGCTAACTGCTCTGCTGAATATACAACAAATATACAAAATACAATACAAAGGAACCCTTCAATGTCACAGCTTTGTAGAAGGAGAATATAGGAAGGGGGGAAAATGCAATGAATGCATAAAAATTCTTGTGTGCTTATGCTGTTGCTTTTTAAGGTGCTTTAATTAACATAAACTTGCTTGGAGTTGTAAGGGGAAAAAAATATTTTCTTTCAGTCATGCAGGCCAAAGTGCTTCATTCACAAATCCAGGGTGCTCTTTGAGGGAATTGGGAGTGCACAGTGTGCCAGAAGAGTGTGACCTGACATTTGGGGTGGCTGCTTTCTTTACTATCAGTAGCAGAAATTAAGATCTTCAAGCATAGCTTCAGGTGCTTGGTGATCTCCTAAATTAATGAATAGTCTCCATAAGTGGGTACCTTCCATCAAAACATGCAAGATTATCCTGTAGCTCTTATGGCTGAGGTTGGGCCCTCGGCCAGTGCCAGGACCACTTTCTGTTGCTGTCAATACATTTGATATCAGAAAGTAAAACACAACAAGACAAACCCACAAACTCCAGAACAGAGATGATGTGTGGCCTGATGCCGTGGCATCTACTCGATACACCCCTGTTACTGCCACATCGTTTGTAATGAACTCATTTTTGAAGAAACTGGAGACAGAGGATTGGCCCTGTGATTGCTGGCTCCTGCCTGTGCGGGGGCCATGGGGAAGCCAGGTCTCTCATCCCTCGTTTGAGATGTCCTACGTACACAGAAAGAAAGCATGAAGTCAGACTGTGCTCTTGCTGGGATTTCTCTTTGAAAGGCATATTCTAGCATAAGAGTCATCTTAATATAGAGTGTTTTCTGAAGGAAGTGTCCTATCATAACTAATCCTTCCCTCTGACAGGACTATCCTACGTACACGATCCTTGGCCAAAGTCAGTACCAGACGTGTTACCCGAGTTCTGGCTTTGGGGTTGTAACACCAGCAGACAGCAACACGGAGAGTTCTGCATTAGCAACAACTACATACCCAACTGAAAAACCAAACGCCATGGTGCCTACGCGGACGGTGCAGAGACATTCCTCTGGTAAGGGCTGGATCTTTAACAGGGGGGCTGCAAAGTACCTGTGATAAACACGACAGTGTGCAGACATGGGGAAAACTTTTTTCCAAAAGGTAATTGCAGCACCTTTGCGTGCTGACCTGGACAGGACATTTGCCTTCCATTGTCAGACTGGTCTCACTGGTGTGCGAAGTATTAAGGTAGACCAGCCAAACTTGTGTATTGGAAGTCTTATGCTGCTTCAGCCAACACTTACCACGTCCTCTGCATGCCATCTAGGGAGATGGAATTCCAGGGGTGACTGGAGGAGTTGCCAACGGCAGCTCCCTGGGACTGTTGACTCTGTCGTGTGTCGGGGCTGGGTGTTCTCTTGGGCTACAGGGCAGTTGATGGTATCCAGTGTCCAGCTCTTTCCCTCCTGCAGGCAGGCATTCATATTACCTGACAGCCATGACATGGCTGCCTGTCCCAGTTACAGGAGCACTCTGGGACTGCTCCTGCATTTTCAAGAGCTGTAGTTTGGCCATCACCTCTCGATGGCTTGGTCTGTGGTGTGACTGGGGGAACATCCTTTCCTTGCCTCTGGTTCATCATGTAAACCCTTTTGGAAATGACATCTGTTGTGCTGCACATGTGAGCAGATCTGCATCTGCAAAGCATTGCGTTACCTGGCACTTGTTGGGGAGATTATTTTAGCTGTTAAGAGAAGAGGTGTAGGAAGTGGATTGAAAAGGTTTAATTGACTATCTAAAGAAGTCACATCTTTGGCTGGCCTTTTCCACTAACGCCATGTCATGTACCAACCACAGTGGTGTTGATTAAAATTTCCTGACCAAAACTACAATTTTCTAAACTTAACAAGGACAAAATCAAAGATTTAGGACTTCGTTCGGTGTCTTACCCAAAGAGGTACGAGATTCTTCCTGTGTTGTCAAACAGTATTAAATGGAAATCTGCTGTCTGTTACAGATTGGTAGGCAGGAAAAAAATACAAATTCCTTTGATTTTTGTTGGTGCCCTGGGTCTGGCCAGGATGGACTTAACTTTCTTCATAGCAGCTCTGCTGATGCTGTGTTTTGGATTCATGGCTAAAGTGGTGTTGATGCCACACCAGTGTTTTGGATCCTACTGAACAACACTTTTGCAGTGTCAGCGCTTTCTCCCCTCCACACCCCTGCAGCGAGCAGGCTGGAGGGGGATGGGAATCTAGAAGATGGCACAGCTGGGACAGCTAGCCTGAGCCTAGCCTAGCCTTCTCCATCTTCCCCAAGTCCATCAGTAGTACCTGAGCTGTGCCAAGTCCTCAAACTCATTCAAGCAACCTGAAAGCAGGGATGGGTGGCTGCCAGCAAGCATAGCACCAAATCAATAGTCCTGAACTCAGTGAAGTTCCAGACCTCTCTCACCTTTACCTTATGGGGTGCTATGGACAGGGGATGACAAACGCCACACTGTATGATGTAAATCACGAAGTGTGGTGCTTCAGGCACGCTCCCTCATTCAGGAAGCAGTTGCCCTCTAGTTGGAGAGAGCAACAGCAGATTTACACATGATAATTTGTTCTTCTTTGGTGTTGAAAACCTAAGGAATTGACCCGTAATAACAGACACTGGCCAGGGAATTGCCCAGCTGTTAATGTTTTCAGTACCATTCTTTTTGGCTCAGGAATTCTCCAAGTTCACAGTTTTGCATTAATTTTCATAGGAATTGCAATGTCTCATCTTCCAGACCCAGACTGAATTCAAGCTCTCAAGTCCACTGTGTCCGCTGCCTTCCCGCTACAGTTCTGGTCCTGTTTCTTAACTAGTTAGGCAGACGTCTGGGATGTTAGCTCTTCTGCCTGGCCGGCAGGATTCAGAAAGTATTCTCCATCATGGCCGTAATACTCTGCATATCAAAGCAATGATTTTTATTATTTTAATGTTTTTTAAATGCTGATGCTTTACTCTTTCCCTGGGAAGGGTGTTCTTACCAGTGGCAGAATAATGTATGGTGCTTGGCCAAGTCTGCATCTTCAGGGCTGAGATCATCCCTGTTATTCTTTACTAGTTCTGGGATAGGCCAGTGGAGCTGTAGTCAAATGATGTCTGTTTTCCAGTTAGCACACTGTGGGTTTGTGTGTGTGGTTGTGTGTGGTTAACACACTCTGGATAACTCGGTGCACTGGCTGTTGTGTAGCTGTTGGTCAAGGGCTTATGGTGGCCCAGGGGTGAGCAGCGTATGCGGAGGTGGAAAGAGCACGTGTTGTGTGATGGTGTGTGACATGAAAGGCATTTTGACTAGTCGGGGAAATCTGGGAGGGAGCAGCATCATTAGATACTTTCCTTTGTACACTTATTCCAGACTGAGGGTTTCTGGTGCTTGCTCAAGAGGTATTAAAAGAAACAGTTGAGTAATAAAGCCAGTTCCAGGGTAGTGGGACATCTGGGAGGTTACAGGTCTTAGGATGGAGGGTCCTCAGTGGACTGAATTGAGGAGACAGAGTTGTTTTGAAATGATGGGACAAAAAAAATCATGTTTTATGTTCTAGTAAGGGTTTAAGTACTACTGCATCAATAAAGGAAGATAACATCTTACCTTTTGCAAAGGAGGTTTTTGGCCAAATGCTATAAGCTTTATGTTGGTGTGTTTTGAGACATAAGGAGGTGAGAGGTGTGTGATTTCTTTCTTCTAGGAGATGCATCCACAAGTCCTTCATTATCAAGAGCAACAGCAAGTAAAGAGTTAGATGAGCAGACAAGAAAAAACATGCCTGGAAAAAACAGGGGGAAGAGGAAAGCAGATACTTCTTCCTCACAGGACAGTGAACTGGAGGTAAGTAGTAACCTTGTTTTCTACAGATAGCATTGCAGAATAGTGTGGTGGTTAAAGTCGTCCTCTCTTTCTTCCATCATATCTCAATGGAAATGGAAGAGGATCATTAGACTAATAGAATAGTTTGCACTGGAAGGGACCTTTACAGGCCATCTATACCAACCCCACTGCAATGAGCAGGGACATCGTCCACTGTATCAGTTTGCTCAAAGTCCCCTCCAGCCTGGCCTTGAATGTTTCCAGGGATGGGGCAGCCACAGCTTCTCTGGGCAACCTGGGCCAGTGTCTCACCACCCTCAGTGTAAGAATTTTCTTCGTTACATCTAGTCTGAAACTACCCTCTTTTAGTTTAAAAACATTACCCCTTGTCCTGTCACAGCAGACCCTACTAAAAAGCCTGCCTTCATCTCTCTTATAAGCCCCCTTTAAGTGCTGAAATGCTGCAGTAACATCTCCCCAGCACCTTCTCTTCTTCAAGCTGATCAACCTGTCCTCATAGGACATTGTCCTCTGATCATTTTTGTGGCTTCATCTGGACCCACTCCAACAGGTCCGAGTTCTTACTGTACTGAGAGAGAATTTGGGATTTCCCGTGAGCCATTTTATCTGAGAACTGGCCCAAATGAGTTCTTAAGTGGTCCTTGACAAGCATCACTTAGACACATCTTGGAATCATAGTGGTGTCAATGGAGGAGACATATGGATGTCTCTAGTACAGCCTTCTGCTCAGAGCTGTCCCCATCACTAGAACCACAGCTTTGTGTAGTTGAGTCTTGAGAACCTCCAAGGTTGGAGATCCTGTACCTGTCTAGTGATCTATCCCAGGACTGCCATGTCCACCTGGGGAAGGAGATTTTCTCTCTCCAACTGGAATCTCCCAAGCTGCAAATTTCCCCCTTCTTTTTCCATGGCAATTTTCCATTTGCCACTACTGAGAAGAATTTGTCTGCATCATCTTTGCAGTTCCCTTTCAATTAATTGTGATCTGCTATTAGATCACCCTTAGTCTCCTCTTTGCTGAGATAAACCATCACAGCTCCCTCAGCCTCTCCTCTAGGCTGCTGACCATCTCGACAGCCTTTTGCTGGCTGCACTCTAATTTCCCCACATCCCTCTGGAGCTGGGAATGCAATCTGGGGTGACCCAATGCCGAGTAGGGTGTCACAGCACCTTCCTTCTGCCAGCTGGGCACACTTGGTATTCTTCAGCACATAATACATCTTATCCACAGGGAGAGCACCCTGCTGGCTCATTCTGCTCCTGGTGTCCACTGTACCCTCCAGCTCCTTCCAGCCTGGAGCAATACGCGGGGTCATTCTGCACTGCACAGTCTGCAGTTACTGAACTGCTAATTCCTGTTGGCACAGTTCTCAAGTTTGTCAAAGTCCTTCTGTGCTGAAACTCTGCTATTCCTCATGACAGATAGTCCCCCTTATTTACCATAACAAAGGTCATTTGCCTGTGGTCTCCAAGATCGCAGACAGTAAACTACCCTAGCAGGGCTCTAAAGTTCATTAGCACTCTTAAGTTTTTCCTTTTATGACTATAAAAGCAAGAGAAGCTTTGGAAATAGTTTGACCGAGAGCGCCTTATTCTGCACATATATTTGCAGTGTACGATATGTAAACTCCACTACATTAAACTGAGTTTAATGAATAATGTGTTCAGCCTGATCAGTATTTAACAGATTAATACTGTTAAATACTGTTCATATCTGTTAAAAGCATACTGCAACTGGCCACAAAATTAACCCTAAAACTTGCTCCATTATTGTAGCTCAGTGCTTGGAGTAGCTCAGCTCTAACCTGCTTTTGTTCTCTACGCAGCGAGTGTTTCTCTGGGACCTGGATGAGACCATCATAATCTTCCATTCACTTCTCACAGGGTCTTATGCTCAGAAATATGGCAAGGTAATATTGTCTTCTCCGTGGAAGAAAACCCCTTTCTGTCCTGCAGACATAAATGCTAATCTTTGGAAAAGGAATAGAAAATGATATTTTGTTTTAAATCTAGAAGGTGATACTTTTAACTTGTTGGCAGTTTGGGGTGGGGAAAAGAACTAAATTTGCCTTTATGCAGAGCTGGGATGTGGACATCACAAACACTTCCCTTCTATTCCCTTCCCTTAAAAAGTCTATTTCTTGTTACTATCATTGGGAATTATTGAGGTCACAGCACACAGTGAAAGAAAGTATTTTTTCTTCTTCAAAACAGATTGAATATTTTTGAATGTTTTGTTTTGTTGCTTCTGAAAATGCATCAGTCCCAGTGATGCAGTACTAAAGTATTTTGTTAAATTTTGGGTCACTGTATTACCAGAATGTATTTGTTATTTTTTCGGGTGTTTTTTGAGTTTAAAATACTGGGGAAATTGTAGTTCACACCAGTGAGGGCACATGAAATTACATCAGGTTTGACACACAGGAGAAACTCTGTGCAATGTAACTGATGAAAGTTTTATCACAATTTACTTCTGCCTGTAACCACAGTGAATTTACGTTTTCTCTTTCTGTTTTACCAGGACCCAACTCTAGTGATTGGCTCAGGTCTGTCAATGGAGGAAATGATTTTTGAAGTGGCTGATACTCACTTGTTTTTCAATGACTTGGAGGTACATGGCAAATGTTTTTGAAAGGCAAAACTCCATGTTACCCAGTTAGAATTATACTGCACAGTTTGGAGGGCTATTGTGCTTCAGAGCCACTTTGTGCTGAAACATAGCAGTGAAGTGGTTCTAAGCACAACCAAATCAAAGAGATGCACTCTTCTCTGAGACATTCTACTGACTGTCATGAGCTCTCTTAGCTCTCTTAAGGGTTTCTACTTGAACCTGTATAATAAAAAGAGTGATGTCTGCTTTGTCTTCTATTTTCATTCTGGATGGGTAAGCACTTTGCTTTTACTGATCCTGTTTTACAGAGATGTGGGGAAAGGGTGACCTTGAGGATGTCAGTTCTCAGGGACTTTGACTCAGCCAAAGACAGAACTCATTTTGTGCATCTGAGGCACTGTCTCAGTAGGTTACGTTGGCTGTGTAACAGCTCAGAAGGACACGCTTCCATAGACCAGTGTGCTCTGCACGGGGACGTCCCACAGCACCCTTCATTTTTCTTTCCTGCAAGCTGTCTCTGCTGCTCTCCCCTTCCCATCCTGCCTCGCGGACTTTTGATCAGCTCCCATCCTCCTTCATGGCCAGTATTCTTTGCCAAATTAAATACATCTCACTGTTCTGCATGACTTCCCCAGAAGCTGATTATAAATCTTTGCTTCAGTCATGGCAAAACTCTGTGCTTTGCTGTTACCCTCATTATATTGATTGAGGCTATTACCCTCATAATATGATTATATTATCATGTAGTAATAGACACAGTAATGTGATCTATACAGAGAGGTGTGAGGTTATTCCATAATCTGGAATTAGATGGTTGGAAATAGCAAATTTCTTGACTCATGTCGTCTTCGATATGAGTCATGGACTCATGAACCTAATTTGCAGAATTTACAGGACTAGTTTAAAGCTTGGGAAGGCTGAATGTGAAAAGTGAACAGTTTATTGTAAGTGCATCACTGATACACATTATGGGAAAACAAGATGCTTTTTTTGTTGCAAATAGAAACTTAAACGAAATCTCCATTTGTGGCTGTGGCTGCTTGTAGCTGTGAGCTTTGCCAAGGTGGAAATGACAGTTACCTCCCTGCCCCAGGAGAAAAAAAGGAAAAAAAATCCGAAACCCCAAATACAGTCTCTTGTGCTGGAAAGGTAGTCACTGATATGTTAACTATGTGATCGACAGCAACACTTAAAGCTATCGGTCTTGGTTAGCAGCAGCAGTGGGAAGTTCTTGTAATGGGGAAAATTCACTTCTTGTCCTATTATCTCGGGATTAAATCTCGCAATTTATCTCGGGGTTAAATCAGCCGTGCGAAGCACCAGAGTCTTGGCAGTACCACCAGCTGATGTGTCACTCTAGGGTTTGTGCTGTGCCTCTCTGGTAAGGGAATTGATGGTTCTGTTGATGAAATGAAATATCAATACGTGACCAGATCATGTGGTTTGGGGGTATTTTTTGTTTTGGTTTGTGAAATGGCAAAAGGGTTTCAAATGATAAGTGAGTTTTGAGTCCAACCTGTTTAGTGAGTGTTGGGAGTTCCTTTTTTTGTGGACAACTCAAAATGTCATAAAAACACACTTTTTTCAGACTTTTCTGGTACTTCAAATCCCAGTCTTAGCAAGGACTTGTAGGTGCTGAGGAGTTAAACCTAGTACTGGAAGACAAAGCTAATGGGAGCTGTGTGTAGGTTTGTGGAGGCAGTATGGCATGGCTTGTTACTGTTGGGAAATGGGAGGGGATTGTTTTATATCACACTTCCTTTTATCTGCAAGTTTCAGTATGTTCTGGATTCCAACAGTGTGACTTTATTTATTTTTCTTAAACAGGAGTGTGACCAGGTACATATAGAAGATGTGGCATCTGATGACAATGGCCAAGATTTAAGGTGATGTATTGATGAATGCATGAAACTTATAGCTGATGAAATCTGGTTTTTGTGGGGACTTCAAGCCCAAAAGGGATGGAGGTCAGCATTGTGCAGGTGATGAAACTTGGCAAATTGTGTTTCTTAGCTGGGTGGTATTTCTTTGAAGACCTACAAAACATTAGACTTTTGGAATTATAACATGAATTGTATTGTCTGCTGTTGAATGTTGCCTGTGCACTCAATGATGTGTCATAAATGGAGAACCAGTACTCCAAACTTCACGATCTGGCCTTTGAAAGTCTCCCTATGGTTTGTATCCCTCTGTGAGCTGATTGTGCACACTATTGGCGGGGTGAGGGTAAGTTCTCTGCTGCATTAATGAGCTGAACTGGCTCATGGAAAGATCTGAGAAGTTCCTGACTGTCAGGGAGAAAGAAGTATGGGGAAAGTGATGAAGCAGGATCTGCTTCCTGCAGTCATGGTAAAGCAGCCCGTCTGCTTGTGGAGCTACAGCTGGGATGTAAAGACACAGCTGTTATGTTTGGAAGATCCTATGCTGGGTTCCTATCACTGCAGGATGAAAAAGGGGTTAGCAGGAAATCTGCCCTGAATGACAGAGGACTGAGCAGGCAAAGAGCAAAGGGAGGTTTTGTAGTGGAGGGTGTGAAAGAAGAGTTGGATTGGTGCATTTCGGTATGGCAATTCAGACCCGGCAGCAGGAGTAGCTGGATATCTGAGTACATTGCCAAGAGAAGTCGGTCTCTGCTGGTGGGGTGCAGTGGGGATTGTGTAGAGTTCCTCTCCAAGGTGCTTTTCTACCTGCCCTCAGAGCTGAAGTTCCTGGCTGCAGCCCTACCAGGAAAGCTGCAGTGATTCTGCCGCTGTGGCACATGTAACACATCTGCTTTTCTGAAACAGCAACTACAATTTCTCCACGGATGGCTTCAGTGGCTCAGGAAGTAATGCAAATCACGGCTCATCAGTTGGTGTCCAGGGTGGAGTGGACTGGATGAGAAAACTGGCCTTCCGCTACCGCAGGGTACGCGAGATCTACGACAAATACAAAACTAACGTTGGAGGTGAGTGTTCACCTGCACCCAAGTATCTGAGCACTAAATGGTGTTTGTGGTGCCAGGCTCCATCCTTCTCACAGCTTTTGCTTTCCTGAATGTTTGGATGGGAAAAGTAACCACTTTCCTAGTGCTAAGTGAGATCCATGGAATCTAAGAGGGTACATCTTCCAAAACTGAATGGCATGCCAGTGCAATCTGGGAGTTATCATCTAGATAAGGGTGATCAGAGAAAATTTAGGTGCCAACAGTGTTCGTTGCTAATTTTGCATCAAAGGCTGCCTGTCACTCTGCTTAGAACAGGCCTAAGTGACTTAGCTATCATGCTGCTCAGAAGGCCTTTTCTTCACAAAGTGTGTCTTTTATTGTGGCGTTGTCAAGAAATACAGCGTTCAACCTTTTGGCTGTTGTGCTCATAGTCACAGAATCCCAGATGGGCAGGGGTTGGAAGGGACCTCTGGAGATCACCCAGTCCTACCCCCTGCCAGAGTGGGGTCACCCAGAGCAGGTCACACAGAATCAAGTCCAGACGGGGTTTGAATGTCTCCAGAGAAGGAGACTCCACCACCTCTCTGGGCAGCCTCTGCCAGGGCTCTGCCACCCTCACAGGAAAGAAGTTTTTCCTCATTGGTGGAAATTGGTGGAGCACAAGTAGAATTTCCCATGTTCCAGTTTGTGCCCATCCCTTCTTGTCCTGTCCCCGGGCACCACTGAGAACAGTCTGGCCCCATCCTCTTCCCACCCACCCTTTAGCTATTGCGCAGCATCAATGAGATCCCCTCTCAGTCTGCTCTTCTCCAGCTGAACAGCCCCAGGGCTCTCAGCCTTTCCTCAGCAGAGAGATGCTCCAGTCCCTCATCATTTTCATAACCCTCTGCTGTCCCCTCTCCAGCAGTTCCCTGTTCTTCTTGAACTGGGGAACCCAGAACTGGACCCAGTGCTCCAGATGTGGCCTCACCAGGGCAGAGCAGAGGGGAAGGATGACATGACATCTCCACCATGTATTCACAAAGTCTCTTACAATCTTCTAGTTTTGTTTCCCTTCCAATGCCAAAGTAGTAATAATAATGCAAACCACAGATATCCACTGTAGTTAAATTTTCTATTTAGTCTGAGTTTGGCGTTGCCACCCTGGGAAAGGGGTGCTGCTGGAGCAGCTCACCTGGCAGGGTGACTCAGCCTGCTGGGAGGTGGGTTTGGGTATCTTTTGCCTATGCAAAAAAAACTTGATAGAATGTTTTCTTGGACATATTTCCAAAAAATCAGGTGTTCAAAAGGATAACTTTCAGCCTTAAAAATCTATCAGTGTAAGTCTGCATTTCACTGTGCTGCAATTCCCTTATTCCTGGTAGGGATCAGACCACTATTCCATATTTTGTGTGTGGGAAACCCAGATGCAGAGTTTTTCAGGACCTGTCTACCAGATGGTAAAGCAGTTGGCAGTGCAGCCCATGGTGGGTCCTTCCACGCCAGTTCAGGGCTGGAATGGGGTGGGGGGTTCATACGTCATGGCTGGAAACTGGGTGGAGAGAGGTTCAGAAAGGGTGCTCCTTCCTTGTATTTACTGATGGAAGCAGGTTTGAGCATATGGGCTCCATTGCTGGCTGAGTTCAATTCAAAACTGAGAACATGATATCTAAAAGGGATAAAAAATAGGGAGATAAAAAAAAAAAGGTGAGGGGTGTGTTAAAAAAGATATCAAAAAGGGATTGCAGTGGAAAGGGTCCTTGGGAAGTAGGAAGTCAGAGAGGGTGACTGCAGAGTTCCTTCCCCTGCTGTCTGTGGCCTCAGACAACACCTATTGCTGTGAGTGCTTTGTACAAGAGAAATGTGTTTTGTTGTGTGTATCCTGGGAAGTGGTTTGAAATAATTAGAGAAGAATGTCTACCCAGTTCCCCACCGTGAGAGTCACAGATGGGTGTCTGGGCTTATCTGTGTCACTGGAAGCTGGTTTCTCCCATTGCCTCGAGACAGTTTCAGCTTTCAGATGCCTTCAGTACCATGATACTTATCGCCGAACAGGCAGCTGTTAGACTGAGTGATGGCTCTCTCTGCATTAGACTTGCCAGCTCAGCTGGGAGCACCGGTGTTGCTTGTCTTCCAGGCCTCCTTAGCCCCCAGAAGAGGGAAGCTCTGCAGCGACTAAGGACGGACATAGAAGTACTAACGGATTCCTGGCTGGAAACTGCATTGAAGTCCCTGCTACTCATACAGTCCAGGTACGGAGACTGGAAATGTGTCTGTGGCTTTCTCAGCCCTTTCTCTCCCTTAGCTGTGCGTGCAGTGCTGTGCTGTGCTGCGTTTCTGCTCCTATTTGTCACAGGAACTGGGAGGCAAAGTGAGTGAGTGCAGGAGCTCCACTCCTGAGCGCCTGTTGGGATTTTTCTGCTGCAACATCTGTTGTTCAGAAGGTTCCCTTCATAGGACTGCACTCACCAAATTGTGTTTCGGTCAGAGAATTTCTGATTGAAACAAAAAAACAAACAAGCAATAACAACACATCAAAATCCTGGCATAAAAAGCCTCTTGAAGGCAGGACACTGAAGCACGTGGCATTTTGGAAAGCCAAGCAGGCTGCTCAGAGCAGCCCTCAGCACCGCTGGCCGTAGATGTGTTTTTACAAGTGTTTTTCTTCTTTTAGAAAAAACTGTGTGAACATCCTGATCACAACCACCCAACTGGTGCCAGCTCTTGCCAAAGTTCTCCTATATGGATTGGGCGAGGTGTTTCCCATCGAAAATATTTATAGTGCTACAAAAATAGGTAAGGGGTTGCGCTGAGTCCCTGGCATGGAGGGGTCTCCTGCGGGAGAACTGCGACTTTGACACAGGAAAGACAATTTCTGCAGCTGAGAAGCCCGTGGCTGCTATGGTCCAGCTGGCCATGTCATAGTGGTGGCTTCTGGCCTCACGAGCTGAACTGGCTGTTATCCCCTTCCCAGCAAGACAAGAGTGTGTTTCTGTATGGGGAAGAAGGGACCTGTTCAGGCTTCTGTTACTCTCTGCCTAAGGCTCATTACGGTGGGATTGTGTTTTGGCAGGTAAAGAGAGCTGTTTTGAGAGGATCGTGTCACGATTTGGAAAGAAAGTCACCTATGTGGTAATTGGAGATGGGCGTGATGAAGAGGTTGCAGCGAAGCAGGTGGGTTTCTGACTGGAGAGGTGGGATGTGGGTGGATGCAGAGGGAAATGACTGCAGCAGTCTTTTTCTGCAGGGCCTCTTTTTCCAGGGCTGAACTTCAGGCCAGGGGCACCAGGGGGGAACTATGCCTTTGATGCAAGAGATCTTTCTTTCACTACGTTAAGATGGGGAGGTTTTTGGCTCTTCAGGGTTTAAAGTTTCTGTTTTACTCTTGTTTAAGATTGTGTGTAACATTGTCCCTGTAGAACAGTAGCTTGATGTAGCATGTCTTGGTCATACCATGCAGCAGTCAGTGAGGATGGTGGCATTTCTCAAAGCACAGAGAAAGTCAGGACTCGGTCGCCAGCAGTCAGATCAATACACAGCATCTACCATGAGTCTCAAACAAGGAGCAAAAACTTCGATTGATTTGGACAGGCCTGAATAGGTTGTTGTCAGGACACTTGTCTCTGCAGGCTTCATGCTGTCTGCCATGGCCAGAGTTGTCATATACACAGGGTCCCTGGGAATGGCCTTCCTGGGCGAAGCAGCAGCTCACAGCCAAGTGCCAAGGTTTCCATCAAACTGTCCGAGCAGCTGGTAGTCAGTGCTGGTGCCCATCATAAACAGATGTGCAGATAAGATAAGCTTCAGGTACCGATGTGCATAGGGCCAAGGTCCTTCCAGCACCTGGTGTGCTCAGATGGTGGTGTCACAAATGCCGCATTGTGCAACCCCATGGGTGTACCGTGACTGCTTTCACCCAGCTGTAAAATCACCTCGATAAACGTGACTTTGTCATCTCTCTTACAGCACAACATGCCTTTCTGGAGAATCACAAATCATGCAGACCTCGTGTCCCTTCACCAAGCCCTCGAGTTAGACTTCCTGTAAGAAGTTGAAACGAAGGCATGACTGCAGCTCCCACAAGCCCTCTCCGTCGCTGGGGAGGCAGAAATCTCTTACATTTGGGGACTCACTTTTCAGCTTGATGAAGAAAACATACCTAATGCAAACTGTTCAGTAGAATGTGACACCAGGTCATTGCCTCAGGAGCACAGGCTCTGCCAAGTACAAAGTTATCCTAGAAAGAGGCACTAGACTCAGCAGAGCTAGGGCTTGTCTGAAGAAGAGACTTAGAGCAGCCAGCTGAATTCCTCTTGCAGGTAGTCTCCAGAGGGGAGGGTGATACAACAGCCTTCTCCTTTCTGTTCAGTTTAGTTGTAGAACCCAAGTAAACACAAAACCTTATTTTTATAGAAAAATACTGATGGCAGAGGTGAACCTCCCTTGTTTTGCAAAGCTGAAAAAGCTATGGTTTTTTTCCATAGGAAATATTAATGAAAATGTCAAAAATACCTCTGTTGCTGTGAAATGTGTCCTCTCTCCTTCCCTGAGTGTTCAAAGCAGTTAATTTATTACAATGTCCTTATGTTATTTTCTCAGTGTGGGATTACTGGAAAATAGAAAGTTAAGGGAATGTTTCTGGGATATGTGGTTCCTGTAGAGGAAAGCGTTGCTGGTCTGAGTTGATCGCAGTGGCTTCTGGTCAATGTGTGCACAAGCCCTGTTAACAAGGAGATCACTGGATTTCAGATATCCGTGACCCAGACGTAGATCCCACAGATTTTCCCTGTAAAGGAAAACAAAACTGCCTGTGAACATTAGATACAGCACAACTCTATTGCAAACTGCTCAGATGTGAACAGAGTCCTTGTCTGGACTAGGAATAATTTGAGAGAACTAAATTCTCATGAATGTTACAAAGAAAGGGTATGGTTATTAACCTTCACCTCTGCTTTCCTGACTCCATTTGTGAGAGTAAGTTCCTTTTAGTAAAATCAGATTCAGTTTTCTTGTATTCTTCTTTGCATTAGCCTAACTACATAGTTAGAAACAAAAGCCTTGTTAAGACGGACTTAATTTTCTAAGACACTATGACTTGGCAGCCTGGAGCACACTGGCCTTGGGAGTGATGCTTACACTAATTTTTCTGCTACCGTCTCAGATCAAAAGGTTGGAGTCAGTGACCTGCAGTACCACAAGCCAGAAGTAGCCACTTGGAGACTGGGGACTGGCACGGGGCACTGGTTTTGTGCCAAGTCAAGGCTGTGACCAGTGGTATCTGCCTCCTGCCTGTACCCCGATGGCACCAAATCAGCAGGTGCCAGGGGTTTCTGCAGGGAGGGCAGGTGTCAGCTGTGTCCCACCGCAGGCCTCTGCTGATCCAAACACTGCAGCTGCACCCAGGACCTGCCAGGTCGCTGGTCTCCAGCCTGGTGTTACCTGCCTGGGACCCCAGGGAACTGCTCTGGAAGCATGTTGCTCCAGGGAGGGTACTGCCCCACTGAGACTGTGCCCACAGAAGCAGGTGATGTTTTCACTGCGGTCCTTTCACAGCATCAGTTGCTGAGGAACAATTGCCATCAGTGCTGGGGGAGTTGCTCTGCTGTGCCCCAGGAGCCTTCCTGGGCAAGCTCTGGTCAGCACTCGGGGGGACATGCTGAGAGCATCTCCTGGGTTTGGATCCCCAGAGCTACGGGACTGGACACAGGTCTCTGTTTCACATGGTCCTTGCTCTACTCCTGTTTTTTAATTAAAAAAGAAAAAAAAAAAATCAGAGGAATTTCTCCAAAGTGGTCCCAGGCATTAGGAGCAGTCCACTTTCCACCCAGCTCCTTGCTGGGTGTTGGCCTTGTGCTCTGATCTGAGCAGGAGCTCTGGGTCTGCGTATTTCCCCAGGAATTCTGCTTCAGGAGCCATCTGTGTAGAAGCTGCTGCCCGAGAGCAGCACGGCCTCTCCTCCCATTAGAAAAATGTGAGAGCCAATTTCTGCTGTAGGTGTTCCTGAACAGCTCAGGGGAGGAGGTGTCTTTTGGCTGCACTGGCCCAGCAGAGCCCTGGAGCGAGCTGGGGCCGTGTGTGTCCTGCTCAGCCTCAGGGGTTGCGGAGGATTAAGAGCAGGAGCCCATGGGGGATGTTCTCCCCATCTGCTGTGAGCACGGGGTGGAGGGCTCAGGGCTGTGACTGGTGTCCCCAGGCAGCAGCAGCAGCCCGGGAAGGTGTGTAGGTGTTTGGCAGCAGCGTGGGCCCCAGGCAGGGAAGGGAGAGGCGCTGCAGGGCTCTGGCTCCGTTACTGCAGGGTCCATAAAGAGCTCATCTGGGATCCCTGGGACGTGTCGCTGCTGCGCCAGCCAGGGCGGATCTGGTGGGGAGTGAGCTGCTCCAAGGAGCAGCCCCACTGCTCCCAGGGTCTGAAGTGTCTCCAGAAGACCAGGACTTATTTGCAGTCACAGAAGAGTTTGTGCTGGATCCTGAACATCTCTGTGTGGCTCCCCAGCCCATCCAAAGGTCTCCTGTAAGCAGGCTTGGGATGTGTCCCAGCCCGTGAACCAGCCTGTTCGGGGCACGTCTCGTACTCCGGCTGGCTGAACTTTGGGATTAAAACCTGTGCCTTAAACCTCCCACCATCCGGTGTGGCCGAGTGGCCCCTTTGCTTCACTGGTGCCCGGAGCAGCTGGCAGGAGGGGGCTGGTGCGGCGAGGTGGGGTGGGTTTTGCCCAGGCGCTCGCTGCAAGTGCTGAACCCGAGGCACCACGCAGCCTGGCAGCTGGCTGGCTTTGCTTTGTGTTTGTTTACTTAAAATGTTTTAAGGAAATTTTAAGATGGCAAAATTTTAGCTGAGTGTGGAACTCTTGCTGCCAGTGACATTTCATACTGATATTTATACGATGTCTCCTTGAATGTATGTAAAGTACTTTTGTAATAGGAGGTTGATGGTACATTTCTGTGTTTATGTTTAATAAAGGTTGACCTGACTATTTTATTTTTTTTTCTTCTGCTGGCTGAATTTAAGATTTTTTCCTGTCTCGTGTAGCAGGAACAGCATCTTTATCTGAGCATTGCTGTGCGTCTGTCTCTGTGCTCTCGCATTTCCCCTGACCTGGCTGGAGCTGAACTGGTGACAAACCCGAATGCCGGAGTGGCAGCCGGCCCCACGCGCTGCGGCCTCTCGTCCAGCCCCACCGCAGCCGCAGAGGGTCTAAAACATAAGACACCTAAGATCCACTAATATTTGCTGCCTCCAAGATCCCTGGGGGAGAGATGTCTGGAAGGTGGCCGGACCTGGCAATGGGTTACCTGGTACTGGGTTACTGACCCCTGGGCAGCAGGAGCTGGAGGGGTCCCGGGCGCTGCAGAGCCTTTGCCTGTTCATGGTCTGTGTAATGGGAACTGTCCTATGAACTGGAAAAAAAAAATAAAGTCTTTATTTTCTATAGTCACTGCCTCAGCCTATTCTCTTACACCCCTACAGTCAGTCCAGGTCCCTTGTGAGCGCTTGGCCTGGGCTTGGTGGCACCGATGGCATCAGGGTGATGGTGCCACAGGTCCCAGTGCAGCCAAGACCCCACTGCCCTGGGCAGCCAGCGGTGGAGGTACCGGCTCCTCGTCACTGCTGGGGTTCCCAGGGGAGAGCGTGGCTCTTGGACAGTCCCACACAACCTAAACCATCCTTTCCCTTTTGCACAGGCCGACAAACAGCCCTCCTCCCTGCCGGCTGCTGGTGCCACTGTCCTTGGGCACGGGTTCTCCTGCTCTGGGACCAGCTGGCAGGAGCAGTTGGTTCAGCTCCTCCTCTAGCAGCAGCCTGCTGCCTCCCCCGCACGGTGGGATCCCCTCCAGGGACAGGGTGGGTGATGGAGTCAAGAGGATGGGGCCAAGGACCAACGCCAGGATGTGCCACAGCTGCTGGCAGGGGCGGTTCTGGGGCCTGTGGGGCTCAGGCATGGAGCCAGGGGCAGCACCCCCCGGGGAAGCAGCGGGTGTCCATTGCCCAGGAGCCGTCACAGCCCCACAGTGTCCACATCAACACCGCGTTCGGCTGAGACGCAGGTCGTGGCCAAGGCCAGCCTGGTCCTGGCATCAGGAGCACTGCCCGGGGTGCGGTGGTGGGAAATCCAGCAAACGCACACTGAGGTGGCCATCCTGCGCCAGAAGTGCTGAGCCACACCATGGCCATACACAGGGACACAGCCACCCCCCCAGAGGACAGGGTCCCGGGATGCACCCTGCCAGCCCCCACCCCACAAACACCATTTGCTGCTCGAAGGAGAGAAGTGTCGCTCTGGGGTAGTGGCAAAGGGGTGACCTGCCCGGCCCAGGGCCCAGCTCCAAACACAGAGCTTTGCTCTGCCCCTCTCCTGGCCAGCAGCAGGGAGGGAAAGGCAAGGACAGCCCGGCATGGCAAAGGGCATGCGTGTCCATGAAGAATCCACACTGGTACATGCTTCCTTGTTTCTGAAGGGGCACAGCCCCACGTGCCCTGACCCTGTCCCGCACCACCTTCCCCAGGCTGCAGGCACCCCCCAGCCCTGCCCGGGGGAGTCCCAGCCGCCTTCCCCTCCCTAAGCGGGGCGATAACAGGCAGCCTTTGGCCTTAACAGCGAAACAGGAGGAGGAAGATAATCCTGGCTGGAAGCAGAAATAGGAGATAGTCCCTGCCAAGGAGGGAACAAGCTCTTCCCCATCAGGACCCACCTCCCTGAGCAGCAGCGGCGGCACAGGCTGGGCACAGACAGGGAGAACAAACTGTTGCTGTTTTTTTTTGTTTGTTTTTTTTTTTCTGAAAAAGCTAATAATAAATAACAAGAGAAGCTGACACAGCAGTGCAACTACAACATGCTGGACCCCCCATGAACACCATGGCTGTCCTCGAGGGCACAGCCATGGCAGCTGTGCCGGGTGCTCACACATCACCCCTGGTTTCTGCCAGGTCCCTCCGGCTGCCCAAAACAGCAGCTGTGGGAGGCAGAAGAGGAACAGAATTAACAAATCTATCTCCCTGACAAGTCCCTTTTGGAGGAGCTGGCCTCAGACAGCAGACTCAAGAGCAGCAGCCCCATTGTGGAAGCGCTGCCTCACGGGCCAGGAGATGGCAAACTGGGCCTGAGCCAGCGATTGCATCCGCCTGTTCACGAGGTCCGGCACCGAGACCGAGCGAAACTCTATCCCGTCGGTCCTCCCGTTGGCATCCACCACGTCGTAGCTGCCTTCTTGCTGCACCCACATGTTGGGGTGCAGCCACTTGTAGTAGGTGACCCTCAGTGCCAGCCCCAGCAGATAGCAGGGCAGCGCGGCACAGAGCAGTGGGATGAGGTACGAGCTCTCATCAGATGGGAACCGGCAGCAGAGCCAGGAGAGTGCCAGCAGTGTGCTGTCCACCAGGATGAAGCCATGATAGATGATGCTGCGGTACAGCGTCCTCCCCTGCGCCACGTTGAACCAGCTGAAGTAGAGAATCACGGCCACCATGGCGCGGTAGAGCTGCTCGGAGCAGGGCGACTCCATGAAGTCTGTGCCCTGGAGAGTGACCCAGAGGAACATGGCCAGGCACACCAGCGGGAAGTGGACAGCCACGGCGTAGGGCCAGAACAGGGCAAAGAGGGCGACCACGAGGATGCGGGGGCAGATGAGGAAGAGGTTCCACAGGAAGTAGATGATGGAGGAGCACCAATTCAGCTCGTACTTGTGCTGCAAGAAGGAGCGCAGGGACTTGTGGTAGTCCAGCAGAGACCAGGCCACACACAGGAACGCGGTGCAGATCCCCAGTCCTGCAAACACAGAGGTGGAGATGCTGAGGGCAGACCGAGCGGAGCCCAAACCTCTCCCTGCCCAGTATTGCTAAAATGAGCTTCCCACCAGCTGCCACAGCAGCTTCTGTGGAGGGCTGGAGCTTCAGCACCTGTGTCTCTCCCTTAGCCTTCCTCCCTCTCCGAGGATGAGGCCGGTGCCCAGCCTTGCCCAGGAGATGGGGAAGAAGCAACAGGACAGCACAGCCCTGCACACCCACCTCCCAGGTGGGCAGGAGGTGGGTGCTGGCTCCAGCCAGAGCATGGTCGGGCTCCCCATTTTATTGCAGTGACACTTGCTCCCCACGCCAGGCCGGGCACAAAGCACCTCCTTGGTGGCCTGTGCTCCACCCTCTGTCCACATCCACAACAGCTCCCCAGTGGGCTCCTGACTCCTCTCCTGACCCTCAGCCCCTCCTGGGGCATGTAGGAGAATGACCACAGAGGTCCTCCAGCTTCAACCGTCCCACCCCAGGCCCAGCACAGTCCATCGGGGCATGTGGGTGCAGGACAGGGATCCACGCCCCTGTGTGTCACATCAAAGGAAGGAGTGACATGGGAGAAGAATAATACCTCAAACAAGGACAGACAAACAGTGTCCTGCAGCCCCACGGACAGCCAATCTGTCCTGTCCAAGCCTGCTCTGCCTGCACCCCTGCAGCCCCCCTCCTTGCCTCACCCTGGAAGGGCTCTGCCTTGTTTGTCCGCAGGATAACATAGAGGAGCAGGGTGAGCTGTGGGGTGTTCTCCAGGAACGTCTCGAAGAGGCGCAGCATGCTGATGTCGTGGGAGAGGAAGGCAATATGGCTCTGCTCCTCTTCCTCCTCTGCCTTCTCCCAGCACACCTTCCAGCCCAGCTTCAGAGCATGGAGGCACCTGTGGGGAGACCCGGCCACCGGTGGGGGGCTGCTGGTTGGCAGGACAGCGCACCCCTCGGTCCTCACGCTGCCCAGGCAGGACAGCTGAAACCTCTCCCGTTTACACTCAAAGCGCTTCCTCCCCTTCCCCGGCCGAGCTCTGCGGGGTCCACGTCCCACGTCCCACGTCCCACTCAGCCTCTGCGGGGAGTTCAAGCGCGAGACTGAGCATCGCCCTTGGCGGAAGAGGACGGATCATTTCCTTCCCGCAGGAGGGGAGGCCCCACACAGACACCCCGCTTCCCCAAACGGCCAGGAGCCTCAGACGAGGCTTTGGGGTGCTCCCACAGCCTGCCCTGAGGGTTTGGCAGCGGTGACAGCAGCGGAAAAAGAAAGCAAAACTGGCACTTTGGGATGTGGGTGAGAAACTTCAGCTGGAGGGAAGTTGTGCACCAACCGGTGGCTCCCACTGACCCGTTTCCAAGCCGGGGCTGGGCCAAACCCCTCTGCCCGGGGAGCCCCTCGGACACCCGAGGACAGAGGGGCCGGGGCACCAAGGGTCTCCCCGGGCAGAGCGGTGGCTGCAGGGGGGTGTCGTGCCTCTCTGTCCCCCCGACTCCGCACAGGAGCAAGGCTGGGGCAGGGCGGAGGGGCCGAGGTGGGGGTACTGGAGGGATGCCGGGGTGCCACAGCCTACCTGAAGAAGAAGCCGAGCTGGAGGAGATGGAGGAGGGCGACAAGCCATTGGGGGACATCGGGGTGGAGGGCGGGGGGGTCGGAGCGGTACCAGAGCCAGCTGCAGGCCTGCGTGGCGAGGGAAGCGGCGGCCAGCGGGGCCAGCACCAAGGCGGCCAAGAGGAGTTGCCCTCCCCAGGCGTACTGCGCCGCCGCCCACCCGTCCGCCAACACGTCCAGCACCGCCGCCGCCGTCCCCTCTGGGCAACCTGGGCCAGGCTCTCACCACCCTCACAGCAAAGAACTTCCTCAGATCTCAGCTCCATCTCCCCTCTTTCAGTTTAAAACCGTTTCCCCTCATCCCGTGGCTCCCCTCCCTGAGCCAGAGCCCCTCCCCATCTCTCCTGGAGCCCCTTGAGGGACTGGAAGGGGCTCCAAGGTCTCCCCAGAGCCTTCTCCAGGATGAACCCCCCAACTCTCTCAGCCCCCCCTCCCAGCAGAGGGGCTCCAGCCCTCCCAGCATCTCCGGGGCCTCCTCTGGCCCTGCTCCAACAGCTCCATCTCCTTCTCTTGTTGGTGGCCCCAGAGCTGGAGGCAACACTAGCAGGTGGAGGGTCTCCCCAGAGCAGAGCAGAGGGGCAGAATCCCCCCCTTGCCCTGCTGGCCATGCTGCTGGGGATGCAGCCCACCCGAAAGAAACAGGGATCTTCCAAGCCCCACCAAACCCCAAGCAGCACCAAACATCATCCTGTCAGCCATCGCTGCAGGAGAGGAGCCCAGCTGTTCCTGGCCTCTGAATGGCCGGGAGCCCCCTGTGGCGGTGCAGCCCCCACCCCCTCTTTTTGGTGCTTGGTGGGGTTCCCCATCCCTGGGCTCCCCCCAACCTGGCTGCAAAAGATACAGTACCAGAGCCCTGAGACACCCCCTGAGTGTGCCTGGCTCTGCCTCCCCCATCACGGGGGACTTTCCCCCCTCTGACAGCCCTGTACATCTGCGCCTGGTCATGGCCCAAAGGGGGGTGACCCCAGAATGTCACTGAATTTTTAGAGTTGGAAGGGACCATAGAGATCATCTAGTCCAACTCCCCTGCTGAAGCAGGATTGCCTAGAGCTTGTCAGAGCATGTCACTCAGGAGCATCCAAGTGGGTCCTGAAAATCTCCAGAGAAGGGGACTCCACACCCTCCTTGGGCAGCCTCTTCCAAGGCTCTGGCACCTGCACTGTGAAGAAGTTTTTTTTTTTTGTGAAGAACTCACAGATGTAGCAAGTTATGGGTTTTCGCAACTGGTGGAAAGTACTGGAATATCCCATCATCCCTGTTGGGTCAGAGTGGGAAAATACTCGAGGAAAGTCAGTTATCTCAGGCCTTGGAAGGAGGGATTCCAGCAAGACCCTTAGAGCTCTCCCGGCTGTCAGGGGGCTGTGGCCAGCACCTCCCCTGAGCCAGGAGCCGCACAGGGAAATGTGGGGGATGGGGAGGCCGGGGTGAGTCAGCCCCCTCCAGTCCCAGTTATTGCTGACACAGAGGGAGGATTTGCTCCAAACGGGAAGAGGGCAATTTTGACTTTCAGCTCCCCCTTGGTCCCCCCCTTTCCTGTTGCAGCTCTGACACTGCGGGCGCTCCCGTGTTTCACCGCATCCACATACGTGTCCCGGTGCCTCCTGGGAGTTGCCCACTGTGAAGGGGTTTAATCTTTAGTCTTTAGTTATATCTCGTGTGCAGGAGTGTGTGCTACCCCCTAAATGTTGTGTGTGTTTGTGCCTATACCTGTATGTATTGATTTAGGATACCTTATAGTAAGTTAATGTGAATTTTGCCATCTTCAAACCTGTAATTGAGTCACTGTTCAATTATTTTATTAAATCATCTCATAAATCCTTAAATCCGTTAACGATTAAGTGCTGCTAAAACTTAACTCTTGGTCTGCCTCAAATTATTAATAACTTTTAAATTGCTGCTAAATCATAACCGTGTCAAATACTTCCCTCTGTGACACACCCTGGCCCTGACTCCCGTGCCCCGGCAGCAGGGCTCTGGCACACCCCCCGCGGGGTACCGGGGTCAAACACCAACCGCAGCTGTAAATTCCTCCTGTGCCCTTGCCCAGTTTCCCACATGGGCACCCGTTCCCCGCGGCTGCTGGCCACAGGGCCACTCTGGCGTGCCCAGGCCAGGAGGCTGTGCTTGGGGCTGGCTCCTTGCCCGCAGCCCTGCCCGGCAGAGCCCAGAGCAGCCGCGGAGCCACCGGTGCTGCCGCCCACCTGGGGCCTGCTCAGGCCGCGTGTGCTGAGCACCATCCCCCCGGGAGCCCGGCAACACCAGCGCTCCCGCTGCGCCTCATTCACCCGCAACTAAAGGGTCCCACACCACAGAGCCATAGAATGGTTGGGTTGGAAGAGACCTTAAAAATAATCTAGTCCCAACCCCCCTTCCAACACTCTGTGCTGCTCCCCCGAGGTTGGGGTGAGGCCAGCAGAGCCCCAGGCTGGCAGATCACCAAAGCGGTCAGTGTCTCCGGACGGCGAAGCGGCCACGGTCAGCTCGCAACGCCCAGCTGAAGGAAGAAACTAACTCAAGTGAGTTAAGAGACCACAGAAGGGAAGAGTTGCTTATGCTCAGCAATTGGGGGAAACATAAATAAAAACTTTAAAAACTAATAATCATAGAATGGTTTGGGTTGGAAGGGATCTGAAATAAATAGGTGTCTCATCACCCTCAGAGTAAAGAGTTTCTTCCTGGTACCTAATCTAAATCTCCCCTCTTTCAGTGTCAAACCCTTCCCCCTCCTCCTCTGGCTCCCCTCCCTGAGCCAGAGCCGGAAGGGGCTCCAAGGTCTCCCCGGAGCCTTCTCTTCTCCAGGCTGAACCCCCCCAACTCTCTCAGCCCCCCCTCCCAGCACAGGGGCTCCAGCCCTCCCAGCATCTCTGGGGCCTCCTCTGGTCCTGCTCCAACAGCTCCATGTCCTTCTGCTGTTGGTGGCCCCAGAGCTGGAGGCAGGACTGGCGGGTGGAGGGTGTCCCCAGAGTGGAGCAGAGGGGCAGAATCCCTCCCTGGCCCTACTGGCCACGGGGCTGGGGATGCAGCCCAGGATGCGGGGGGTTTCTGGGCTGCCAGTGCACGTTGCTGGGGCGTGTGGAGCTTCTCACCCACCAACACCCCCAAGTCCTTCTTCTCAGGGCTGCTCTCCAGCCATTCTCAAAGAATGAATCACAGAATGATATGGGGTTGGAAGGGACCTCTGGAGATCATCTAGTCCAACCCCCCTGCCAAAGCAGGTCCACCTACAGCAGGTTGCACAGAAACGTGTCCAGGCAGGACACATTCTCCACCCAGGCTGGATTTGTGCTTGGGATTGTACTGACCCAGGTGCAGGATCTTGCATTTAGCCTGCTTGAACTTCATGAGGTTCACACAGGCCCACCTCTCCAGCCTGTCTAGGTCCCTCTGGATGGCATCCCCTCCCTCTAGCGTGTTGACCGTGACACACAGCTTGGTGTCATCAGCAAACTTGCTGAGGGTGTGCTCCATCCCACTGTCCATGTTGCCAACAAAGATGTTAAACAGCCCCAGTCCCAGTAGTGACTCCTGAGGAACACTGCTGATCACTTGCACATTGAGCCATTGACCACAACCCTTCGAGTGTGGCCATCCAGCCAATTCCTCACCCACCAAGTGGTCCATCCATCAAATCCATGTCTCTTCAATTTAGAGAAAATGATGTTGTGTCAATGCCGGGACAGTGTCAAATGCTTTGCACAAGTCCAGCTAGATGATGTCAGTTGCTCTTCCCTTGTCCACCAACTCTGTATCCCCTTGTAGAAGGCCACCAAATTTGTCAGGTGCAAATTGCCCTTAGTGAAGCCATACTGGCTGTCACCAGTCACCTCCTTATTTTCCACGTGCCTTAGTATAGTTTCCAGGACAATCTGCTCCATGATCTTGCCAGACACAGAGATATAATCAATTATTATCAGAGGTATAATCAATTATTAAGAGAGATAATAATCAAGCTTCTTACTCACCCTGGAGCCTCATCTTGGGCACTAATATGCATAAGTCACGGCCCAAACTTACAGAAGTTCATACACTGTCAAAGGAAGGACTACATCCCACCCAGCTTTGCTCATAAGCCAAAGGCAAGGCCACCAAAACAAGACTTTCTGGTTCACCAGTTGTGTGGTCTTTCCAGAAGAGAAGCATGTGCCAAGAAGAAGAACCCACCTGGAAGCAGACTCCTCGGGAACACGTGGCAGCTCACAGCTCTCGTCCTTGGTAAGTTAAAGTCCACGGGGATGCTGGGTTTTTATCTGATTTGCGAGACTACCTCAGAAGCCAGGGCGGATGGCAGACAAACTCCCTGATGCAGGTCAGTCTGGCACAAAAAAGACTTTGTAGCAATCACTGCCCTTTCCTGATACACGAAGCTTTTCTAGAAGATTTCAAATCAACATCTTAGAGCTTTTACTAAAAAGTCACTGATTTTGTCTTGATTTTTGAGTAATTTCTCAATGTCAAAAGCATTCGCAATTGCTGGCTCATGTGCATTGTGAACTTGTGCTCTCTTCATTCGCTCTTGCTCTGTCATTACAGCGCTTGCTGGGGACTCAAAAGTCCTAAGAGCAAGGAGAATAATAAAAGCCAAACATCGATGATGGCAGAGGCAGCGCTGCTCTTTTTAATACACTCATTGTATTTTGTAAAATCGACTTCCCTGATGGCACAAACATGATCAACGCGGCAGTCCTCCCTGCACGGGCTGAGGTCATATCTGACAGAGTTAAACTCGTAGTACTGCTGCAGATAGTGTGGATCCTTTGATATCCTCTCCAGTACCATTTGCATGGAGTGCGCAGAGCCATCAGGGACCTGGAAGGCTTCTCTCAGCCTATACTCTTCCTCCCACACTGCAGTCACCATGTTGGCATGAGTTAGGTTCAGGTAGTAAGTCACCATATCCTGCAGGGAGAGAAAACCAGACCTAAGAGCGATCAGGAAAGGACCAGGCCTCAAGTGAAACGTTTGGCTTGGATGAGATCAGCCCCTCTCCCAGGCGCTGGTGTGCAGCACCACAGACACGTGTGCTCACTGCAGGCAGCGCTTCTCCCCCCAGTGACAGGGGAGCTGCCTCCGAGAGGTGCTTCCTACGGAGATGTGAACCTGGGGACAGACACCTCCCTTGAGAGCCTCCAGAGCTCACCACAAAAGCACCCTGTTTGTGAGGGATGAAGGGATGGCTTTTCTCTGCTTGAATTTTATGTCCAAACATCAGGAATTCTGAGCCTGCTTCAGAATCACTCTGTTATTTACTACCAACACTGTCCACTGGCAGAAGCAAGGGTTGGAGCAGTGTTACCAAGTGAAGTTATTTTCTCAAAAGTGAACAAACTGAAGTTTTTGACAACTTCTTTTCTCAGTCTCTTGTCCTTTTTCTCTCTGCTTCACTAGTTCCCCAGCCTCCCACAGTGTATTTTAGCATTCATTTCTCATGCTATAAACATGTAAACACAGCATGTATAGACCTGCTTTATCAAATGCAAAGAAAGGCACAAACACCCCACCCTCTACCTCTGCAAATAAGAGACTGAGGAAACAGAAGCAGCATGTCCAATTCACCTAAATTCAGATCCATTACAAATGAATCAATTTGGCAAGTGGTGGGGGGGCGCAAGTAATTTTCTAGATAGTTAAAAGTTTTTGGAGGGGCATTGACAAATCTGTCAGTGTCCAAAGATAAGTTCTGCAATCCATGTTGCCTGGGTAGTAATGCACATGTAATGCACAGAGCTAAAGACACAAAGAACACAACAAAGCCTGTCCTGCACTGCCCTGGGGAACTCATCCCAGCAGAAGGCCTGGCCCAGCTCACTGCAGTCACTTTGACTTTACTCACTGATGCTCTTACTAAATCTTTGTACTTAGCCACGAAGCTGAAATATCTTGGTTGAGGTCCCCTCCTATGTAGCCGCTTGGCTCCTGTAGTCCTATCTGTTAAACCCACAAGGAGGAATTGAAGTACTCTTCTAGAACTGCAGTGTGCAGCACACGGGGATTCCCTACCAACACTTGAAGGGTGTCTGGATCGTAGTCGATCACCCGGATCCCAGGGTTGTTGGCTCCATTGTTCACTCCAGGCAATGTTGTTTTCCAGGGTGTCACTCCAGGGGCCAAGAACATGACATTGATTGGAGAACCTTAACAGAAAGGCAAAGGAACCCATGAATGGGAGACCCTGGCTTGTATCACACCCTGTCCATGCTGCAGTGAGCACTCTGGGAACCAATCACACTGCAAACAGCATCTCTCTCACAACAGTACATGCATAAATCAGCACATCAAACGGCATCAGGGACTGTTGTGGCTGAGAACAGGCCTTCCACTGCTGCCAAAGACTCTTGCAGTGAGGGTGTGCAAGAGAACCACGCTCAGCAAAAGAGATCCAGAGCACTACATGTAACCCCAATGCAGAGATTGGTAACTGCTCCCTTATGTCTTAGTTCATGTCCAATTTGTATCAATAGGGAGCATGCAAGAATTTGCAAGGCATTGAGGGGAAATGACAAAATTTGAGGGTAATCAGAAAGGAGGGATGGAGCTACAGGCTGGGAGTGGAGATCAGAGCCACTGCTGTCTCAGCTGCATTCAGCTAACAGCCACTGAAAACTCTCATCAACAGCGACTTTCTGGGGGTTAGCAGAGTTATCATGCAAATTCTTGCATGGCCAGAACCAGTACCTGTATCACTGTAAAACATCCGAAAGCTGTCCGTGTGATGGTGCCCAAAAAACTGGGCAGCAATCACTCTGTGGTGCTTCTGCACAATTTTTAAGTATTGTTCATTAAAGCGACTCCGGAACCAGGGCTTGCCTCGTTTCTTCTCGAAGAAGCCAGGAGGGACGTGCCCCACGATGTAGACCTACAAAAGCAAAGAGTTGCACTGAATGCGAAACCCACGCTTCACACAGAGCATGAGCTTGCTGTGACTGCACAGAGTGGAGAGCAGGAGTGAGAAGAGCTTCCAGGCTGGGAGATGCCATCTACAAAGTTTGATTATTCATTTCTTTCAATACCATTTCATTTGTTCTAGAGGCATTGGTCAGTGTTTCTTCCAGCCACTGGAACTGCCCTCCAGGATCTTCCTCACCAGCTGTCTCGTCATTCTGGTCGTAGTACAGATTGGTATTGAGGACAACCATTCGTCCCTTTGTCCTTGGGCTGGGCAACTTCTCACTGTAGAAAGCTCCTGAAAAATGCAACCAGCCGGGAAAGAGCTGGATGTATGGTCATGCTGGTTGCTGTGACCCCAGATCCCTTTGTTTCCATCCCTCTCAGCTCTCCTTGGCAGAGGCACTGTCTGGACAAGGTGCCAGCAGCGCTCTGACCGCTCCAGGATGGGGATCTGGAGCAACACCTCCCACTTTGTACCTCTCATCGTGTTACACCTCTCTGGGCGAAGGCAGACCCTGGGTGGGGACAGCATGCAGCACCAGGAGCCAGGCAGCCCTGGAGAGCCACACTGCTGGCCTGCATCAGCAGCTTTCTTAAAAGATCTTTTTTTCTTCCCCTGAGCTTAGACTCATTTCCCTGCAGGGACACTTCCCAGTAACTCAAGGAAAGCAGGAGAGACTAAAGCATAAATAAATTTATTTTCTCGTATGCAGGAGAACTCAGTGCCAGAAATTAGCATTAAATTGGACCTTTCCTTTGCAAATACCCTACGAATACTGTTGCTTTGAGCATAGAAGCAGGGAAAACTATTTGTGGTATTCTTCTAACCACACTATCTCCCTGGAGTGCTGCCAACGTGAGCCAGTGGTGTCATACCCGCTCTGAAAATGGGAACAGAAGTATCATTCAGCCAGGGCTGCCACAGCTCAGCTGTTCGGTTGTAGATCCTGTGCTCCTTCCCCGGAAACTGATTCTTGGGGTGGAAGTCATGATTGCCCATTGCTGCGTAGACTTTAGTATCTAGAGACAGAGATAAGGAGGCACAGAGGAATCCATGCTTGCTTCAGAGTTCCTCAGCAACAAAGCTCCACGAGGCACTCACAGACTCACAGCGTGGCTTGAGAGCTTTGCAAAGGTGAATCATCCACACCCCAGCCGTGTGGCTGCATCGACTGGGGGTACAACACTGCAAAGACCATCCTTCCTCGGGACAAGCCACCTCAGATGCGTGGCTTTACAGATGAATCAGTGAGCTTTCACCATCAATAACGCTACTTCCCCCACTGCTGACATGGATTAACTGTGAGGAAATCGTGCAGACTTTTCTGTTTTAATGACTAATTACAGAAATGTTTATTCTCCTCTCTTCTGAGTGAGCTAACCTGAAACAATGAGTGTGCATCAGATGCTTTAATTCAGACACGCCTCATGCCACACAGCAACCAGAAAGAGGACAAACAAGTCCTAGCAACCACAGCCCTTCTGTGCGCTTCTCCTTCCCAATTCTGTAATTTCTCCGCCCTGGTAAGCTCTTCCCATGAGACTCTGTGCCCCTCTCCCCTTCTCATCTCCTCAAATCCTACCTGGAAAGGTCTCTTTTATCAGAGAAGTCAACTTTTCTATTATGTGCAGAACTTTTTCTTCTCCAAGCTTCTCATTGGGGACGTGAGGAGTATCATCTCTAGAAAAATAAAAGCAACACAGTCACTGTCTGTGATTTAACAGGGCATGTGCCTAAAAGGATAAGCAAGGCAGAGGAACTCGCTTACTTCTCTTTGTGCCTCTTGGAAAATAAAGTTGAAGCTTTTGGGGTCAGGAACCAGCACTATGTTGGCTGGCCAAGACACTAAAGGAGTTTCAAGGAATTGCTCAAAGTGAAAATGGGCTCCACTTTATTCTACCTTGAAAAACCTATACACAAGCATTAAAAGTGAAGGCTCACTCTGCCTCCGTGCATTTAATAAACACTAAAGCTGACTGGAAATATTGCCAAGGAACAATATTTTGCAATCTCAGGTCAACATCTGATCAGCAATAGGGAAGCAAAGCTGTTTGCAAAGCTGTTTGAACAGCAGGATAACAACTCTAATTAAAATGGGATAAAGGAATGCCCCCAGTGCAGCAGACTTGTGGAGGCTATAGCAGATTAAAGGTTGATGTTGCCCTGTCAGAAGAAAAGGAAATGTTACAATCAGACATATACACTTAACAATGATCATGCAAAATAAAGCTTTTACTGCTTATAAGTTCTACTGAGACCTCCTGTGGAATAGGGTACCCACTTCTGGAGACATACTAGGAGAAAACATGCTGCATTGAGGAGGTTTCTCACACTTCTAAAGCAAAACATCCCCTTTTTGAGACAAGTCTCCCAGGTGCCTCTTTACAGTCCAAAGAAAAGCCACAAGTCTGCTTTGCAATGCCCTGCCTCTAACAGGCAGGACATGGCACACCAACAGAAAGAGTACATCCCTGCCTCCAAGCGTTTCAGATACTTAAGAGTTTGTGTGAAGTCAGACAGGGCTGGCAACAACAGGAAAAAGGAAGGACTGTGAGTTGTGATCCTTTCCTTACCTTACTCTTTCTCACTGCTGGGGCTTGTTGGGAGCCTCTTGCTTGGTGTCAAGAGGCCTCATCAAGGTTATGCTCTCCCCCAAGCCCCCATTATAAAACACATCCATATCTCACCTCTCCAAAACGGTTACTGTGTAAAGAGCCCTGGATCCCTCACAAGGTCCTTACGCGTCAGCCCTCTGGCCGCCCCTTCTCCCCTCCGAACCCTGGCAGCCCCCAAGAGCCGGCGGGATCGCATCCCAGCCCGAGAGCTACGCGCAGCCCCAGAACCCCCCCTGCCAATTCCTGCAGTTGGTGTTTCTCCTCACTTGTCTGGAGAGGCAGACACTGTCCCTCAGTCTCCCGAGCTGCAGTGGGAGGCTGAAGGCGCTGAGCTGAGGAGAGTCCCGGCAGCGAGCGGGTTCCAAACCCCTCCGACTGGGGGGATCTACTCCTGGCAGGACCCTGCCCGATCCCGGCCCCCGTTCTGTCCTTACATCCCCTTTTTGAGACAAGTCTCCCAGGTACCTCTTTACCTTTTTACCTCCCGGCCCCCGTTCTGTCCTCACCCGGTCCAGAGGATGAAGTCAGGCTGCGGCAGGAGGCTTCTCATGGCGCTGACAGCGGAGGCGAGCAGGCACCAGGGCGCGTCGCAGAGGTAGCTGCCCCAGGGCCCGGCGGCGGGGCCGGCGTGGGAGCCCCCCGACGGGCAGGCCTGTCCGGCGGCCGCCGCCGCCTCGTAGTCGGGGTCCCAGTGGAGGTCGGTGATGTGCCAGAAGCGCCCTGCACCCGCCGGGAGACGCCGAGGCTCAGCGGAGCGGGGGGCGAGGAGTTGCCGCCGGGTGCTGCTGGGGGCCCCCCGCCCGGCCGGCCGGCTGGACAGCCCCCCCTTACCTGACAGGGCCACGGCCAGCGGGCAGAGCAGGACGAGCGCGACGAGTTGCATGAGGCGCTGCATGCTATGCTATGCTATGCTATGCTATGCTATGCTGGGCTGGGCTGGGCTGGGCTGGGCTGGGCTGGG